AAACTGACATGGGAGAAATGTTATCAAAATTAAGCAGTTACGAGAGCTAGTTCTAACAACTTTATGAGAATCTTTCCACCAAATTGTAGTACATGAATGAGAAGTGAGGTCTGCTAACCATGGTTTCTTGGAGAAGACTGGCAGGGCCAAAATGTCACAGGAGCCTTACCCAGGCTGTGAATGTGAGGAGAAGACACAGGTTCCTAGGGAGAGCAGGGTCTGTGCTGGAACCCCCTCACCCTCCACCCATCCAGGCAGGCCCATGGGTTCCGCCTCTGACTTTCCCGCTCCAGCTGCCACCACTACCTGAACTCGGGCAGCAGCCCTGGCCCACTTCTCCCGCCCCTGCCTGAGGGCTCAATCAGATGCCCCCTCTGATATGGTCCTGTCAAAACCCTGGGTGTGTTGTCCTCTCCCCCTCCCAACCCCCCCCCCCCGCCCCCGCCCGTTAGCTGGGACAGCCAATCATAGGTCTCTCTCTCCCTGGTCAGGCAGCCTAGGGCCACTCATTCAAATTTGGCTTCATGATCCCACCTGCCGTCCCAAAGAATAAGCACTGAATTACTTCATTCTCTTCACGTCTCCAAGTGGATTCTTCCAAACCACGATTTAGTACCTCCCGCTCTGAGGAGGGCATTCCTGCAGGTGGGCCTCCTGCTGCTGAGGGTTTTGGACCGCTATTCCACTGTGATCTCAGCAGCTGTCCCGATGCCAATGATTGCACTGGGTCAGTCCCCTCTTGCTTCTGACCTTCTGTCTCATGAGCCTGTCCCACAGGGGGACACCAGGCCCAGGAAATTGAGTGCTCTTGTCCCTTTGTCCTAGTGAGCTACCCAGATCCTATACCTTTTGATTTGCCTCTCACCCAGTCTGATCTCTAAACTCTCTCAAGAAAAGAGACCAGTCCCCTCCTTCCCCCCTGCCACCCAGGATTTCCTTGGATTAATCATCGGCCTTGACCCCCTCCCCTGCACTTCTCTGCACTGTAGCCAGAAAACACTGCCCCTTTGAAAACCCTCCAGTGGCTTCCCCCAATCCCACGGTAAAAGTCCAAAGTCCTTCAAGGGACCCCTGTCCAGGGTTGCCCTGACAGGGCACATGGGCTGCCTGTTTTCTGTGCCCCTAGGAGGGCAGGTCTCCTGTCCTGTTCAGCACAGAGCCTGGTGCACAAGAATGAACATTGTTTAATGTGGGTGTGATACTGCTGGGCGTTTGCCGTGTGTACTGTATGTCTGCTTTGCTACCATAGGTGTGTTATACTGCTTTTTCTAGGACTTGGACCTAGTTTTCTCTTATTAAGTTATTGTAGAGGTTAACGGCTGTTCTTTGTGTTTTTTTTTTGGGAGGGGACATACCTGTTTGGGTGGAACTGGATTTGTTAGGTAGAACTCCCTTGGTCAGAAGTGGAACCTGCATGTGGGATACTGTTCCCATAGAGAGAAATGACCACGGTTTATTGTAGATTGGGTAGTTGGTGCTTGAAAAGTGCAGCCTGTATGTGTCTTTCTGTTTAAAGGTATCCTTTGTTATTTTCCCACCCTCTTTGGTATCACCCATGCCCCCTCATTTCTTGGAAGAAGAAACGCAAGACACACAAGTACAGGGCTTGCCCAGGGCCTCATGGCCTTGGTTGAGTCTCCTATGAAAACCTAAGCCCCAGAGCCCCAGGGTCAGGGTCTTTCTTTCCCCTGCATCACAGATACGTGTTGCTCTGTTTATGCTTCCTAAACCTTGTTGATTTGTGCCGGCCTCAGCCTTGCCCTTGCACCCTTGTGGCTCCCTAGTTTAGTACAGGAGCCTAGGTTCAGTCCCTGCCATGCAGCCTCATTAGCTCAACCTCGGTCGGGTCTTTAACTTCTCTGAGCCTCAGTTTTCTCGTCTATGGAGTACTCATCATAACAACGCTTGCCTTGCAGGGCTGTTGTGAGGATTAAAGAGAAAGCATATTAAATCCCAGACGTAGCAGGAACTCCATAAATGTTAACTGCTGCTCCTGCTGGGAATCTCTTCTTATTTTGAAATATGCCATCTGCTAGCTGTGACATTGGGCAAGTTACATAATCTCTCTGGGCCTCCATTTCCCATTTGTAAAATAGGGTTAATGTAAGTAAGTGTGTACGTTGTAGTACTTATTGCTCCGAGGATTAAATGAGATAATCCATAGAGAGGGCTGTGAACAAGGCCTGGCTGTAGGAAGTATGCTCAGTGCAGATCTGCTGCTACTAATTTCTCTTCAAAGTGGCCTCAGGGAGGATCTCAGGACCATGTGTTGTAGCCAACTATATATTTTCTGAAAGATATTTTAACTGATTTTTTTCCCATCAGTGCACAGTCACTACAAAAAAAATTTTTTAGGCACACACAAAAAGTTAAAATTTGTAATTCCATCCAAATGCCAATATTTTCATGGCTATCCTAATTTTTTTCTGAGTCATAAATCTGCACCCCCCTCCCACACACACACCCATTGTGATAATGCCCATACCTCCATGGCTCGGTCCACAGCAGTTTTTCAGCTGTGCTTCTGACTTCTGTAGCTGGGCTCCGTCAAAGGCCTCAGGACTTCCAGGGGTCCCTGCATCCCTCTGCACCCCAGTTGCACGTGAAAGGGCACACCTTGCCTCCTGACACTGTGTGCGCCCTGACAACATGTGCCTGACTGCTTAATGCTGGCGAAAACCGCTGGCCCAAGGGTACGTTTTATTTGGTTCGTTTGTCAAAGTATGTTAAAGCTTTTTAAAATTAACTTTATAAAAGGGCAACACCAGGCATCCTTGTGGTGGTAAACACACGAAGCTGCATAGGTGGTGAAATTGTATAAAGCTTAATATTCACATGTGCACACACACATGCACACACACATGAGTATGAGTAAAACTAGGGAAATTGAGTAAGATTCGTGAGTTGTATCAGTATCAGTACCCTGGTTGTGATATAATTTTACAAAATGTTACCACTAGGAGAACTAGGTAAAGGGTAGAAGGGATCTCTGTATTATTTCTTACATCTGCTTGTGATTACACATGATTAACAACAATCATCTCACTTCAAAAACTTAGCTTAAAAAATGTAAGTATAATTTCTGATTAATATAATTCCGGAGAAACAAGGAGCTCCGAATCTTGTTCTCTTATGTTAGAGTGACATTGAGCCAGATTAGTTAAAATGTAGCCCAGTTTTCTTTTATTCCAGGACAGCAGAGGACTTGGTCCTTTGAGAGCAAGGCGGGCAGGGGCCGGCCCTCCAGTCACAATACAGGTTTCAACACAGAGGCCTTTTGTAACGCAGCCGTTTCTGCTTGATGAAATGGGCCTGCTGACGCTTGCCTCCAGGCGGCTGGCTGGCGGCTCCAGGGTCTTTATCTACACTGTTGCAAAACACCCCCAGCCGTGCAGCCTGGAAAAACGAATGCCTGTCTGTGGCATAGGAATCCTCACTTAGGGATTTCAGTGACCTCGAGCTGATGAACTATTTAGAGCAATTTGAGCTAGACTCCATCTCCATCAAATTAAATTCTGGTTTAAAGCAACCCTAAATCTCCCTGTCCTTTCCCGCCCCGCAGCTCTGTTGGAGGAGAAGGGAAGGAAGGTGCCTGAGGCCGTGCACGGCCCTCCAGCAGGCAGGTGGGTTCCTGCCCTAAAGTGCTGGGTGGAGGAGAGGCCCGAAGGGGAGCCCCCTCCCCTGGCTCCCAGGGCTCGGTGTTGGTAGGCCTGCAGATTTGGAACCAGATTTCAGGTCTCCTCCTGAAGCTAGAAAATCATTCCAGCAGATCAGATTTCTCTGAGCTCACTCGCTAGGATGATCTCTGCTTGCATTTGATAAAATATTTAGAGACCTATTGGATGCCAGTTGCAGTCTGTCATTAGCAATGCTGCTGAGTTTGGCTTAATAATGCACTTCAGTTCCCAAATGCCTTGTGTGAGCTGTTACTGAAAGTGGGTCATTGTGAAAGCTGAACCAAGTCTTCGACTCTTAAAGAATTATTTTCTAAAATCTTCATTATAAAGAGTTACTAAGACATTACCGCAAAAGTGGCAGGTTTCAAAAAATTTTACACCTTGCCTTTAAATCCACTTGCGTTTACTCTTTCTTTCACAGAATAAAACGCATGCTACCTTCTTGGTGTGTGTTGAACTGCCAGTCAATTCCTTGCTATTGATTTAAAATAAAACAACCCTGAGGTTTTTCAGCCGACTAAAGCTTTCTTTCATGGCACAACCTTTTTCTCCAGTGGAGGGAGAACAAAGACAGTCTTTAAGTGGCCTGCATGCAGCCTCTATGACCACAGTAAATTATATATGTAATGAAATATCACTCTGTGTGTGTGTGTGTGTGTGTGTACTAGTAGTAGTAGTCTCTTTGGGGGGGATTTAAAAAACCTATCACCCTAGTTTTCATGGTATGGAAGCTGGTTGCATAACCTTAGAATTTAGGCCATTTGGGGAGGGAGGGGGCATTGTGCTATTATGAAATGATCACCTAAGACTGTTGTTTAGTAATTATACCATAGCTGCTTTCTGAAGGATTCCACATTGTCCACGTGGTTGGGTCTCTATGGTTAGTGAGGCGTAGATCCTGTACGTCTTTCTGATAATTCACACATTGGTGACTGTGCTGCTGGCCAATGTCAGTTTGCTGAGTTTATATGAGGCCATACCCCTTCTACTCCAGCGCCTTGCTCTCAGCGCCTTGCTCTCAGCACCACCTCTAAGCATGCTCAAGTGTGCACGTGCACACACACACACACGCACACACGTGTCAAGGCTTTGCAAAGGTTAGAGGTCACTTTCACCCTGTCACCCCCTCAAAGCTTGGGGCTCTTCCCTGGAACTGCGAAATGAAACCCGGTGGTACTGAGTAGTATAGGTTGAATTCGGCAAAACCAATGACCCTTTGTGCCTAATACACAGGCACAACTTTAGGGCCACTTTTTTAGATGAGTCATTTGTTTGGCAGGTTGGTGGCATCGGTTGTTTCATTGTCATTTTTATTTCTTGCAGTTTTATGTGCTGAAAGAGTTGGCCAGATGACCAAGACATATAATGACATAGATGCTGTTACTCGGCTTCTTGAGGAGGTAAGTGTTTCAGGGGAAGGCGGAGTCGCTCATAATTGATTATATTGATTAAAGCAGTGAAGAATCTCAGAAATGGGGCCTTCTCAGGGTATCATTTACTGACTTTTTTTTTTTTTAAACTGATAGCTATGCAGGTCTTGTAGGTGTAACTTTGTGCAAGGTATTTTAGGCTTTAAAAGGAATATATTAATGACACAAAATAGGGTAGCGTTGAAATACTTGCTATAATACCCAGTTTAGGATTTTAAAAAACCCTTAAAGTATATTCTAACAAAATATATATATATGTTTTTTGTGAGGAAAATTGGCCCTGAGCTAACATCTCTTGCCAATCTTCCTCTTTTTGCTTGAGGAAGATTATTGCTGAGGTAACATCTGTGCCAGTCTTCCTCTATTCTGTATGTGGGATGCCGCCACAGCTTGGCTTGGTGAGCAGTGTGTGGGTCCCACCCAGGATCTGAAACCATGAATCCCGGGCCGCTGAAGCAGATCACGTGAACTTAACCACTATGCCACCAGGCCGGCCCCTCTAACAAAATATTTTGAGTGTATCCCCAAAATAGCGGAAAAATACATCATTATCCGTGTCTTTGTAATGTGTTTTTTTACTTACATCAGGTTAAATGGATATTATTATACAGTGTCAGCATGGAAATAACCAAAGTAAGCCTGGCAGGAAAAACTTAGGAAACTTGCTTAGTATTAAAAGAGCTGCTGGTATTTTAGAAGAGACTGTGGTTTTCTCGGTTTCTTCTCAGCCTTTGGCTGTTGAGAATTACGGTGCTGTGAAGGCCTCTAGAAACAGATGAGTATAATGTGTGTATCCCCACGCCTAGAACAGACCAGAACACTGTAGGTTGTTATAGTAAGTGTTTATTGGATAAGTACCCATCTTTAAACACTGTATCCCCCCACCCCCCATCAGGCCTTAAATGCACAGGCGCTAGCTTTCAGACCCTTGTTTCTGCTCCAGAATCGAGAATGAGTTTGGGTCATGTGACTCTTCTTCTTTCTCCAGGAAGAGTAGATGATGTAGAAACTGTTGTTATAATTTCCAGCCAGTGGTAGGACAAGGTTGAAGCACAGGATAAGCAGGAGTGGTGGGACCCAGAGTTTTGGAGGGACATCTTTTTACCCCATGTTTATGTCTTTCCCTTTCCCTGTGTTTTTGCCTTCTACACATCGAGCCTTTTCAGACCTGCTCTGAGGGTCTGGACCCTTCCAATTTCCTCTGAGTTCCTGAGGGCTCACCTGCCTTGCAGCCCACTCCCCTCCCATTCTCCTGAAGGCCAGCCACCCACTGATAGACCCGGTTGAGTTGAGTCGGGGCAGGAGCTGAGACCTGCTTGACCACCTGCATGTCAGAGAAGTTACAAACTCCTCAGCCCCAAATAAGTGACACTAGGTTTTTGGCTGTGTGACAGGGCAGTTAGCGAGGCATTTTAGGGCACAGGCCTGCTGGTGGTGCTCCAGTTGCAGTCATCTTAGCGGCTGGCATTAGCCACCTGGTAGGCTACCTTGGTTGGCACCACCGACTTTTGAAAATGGTTTATTATGGACTCTTTCCTGCTGTGTCCATTTCCCCCAACAGTGCCACTGCTCTCTAGATCTTATAGTGTTTCCAGCATCCGTTCTTCACCCCATACCCAGTTGGTCATCAAGTCTTCTCTGGGGTCCTACATCTATACCTTTATTTTTTTCCAAGGTCACCAATCCAGCTCCTGGAGCCTCAGCAGTGAGATTTTAGTTTCTTTCTGCTCTACGCTTCCTTGTGCTGTCACTGTCCCAAGCCCTCTGTAATCACCTTGCCCTCCCCTGACTCTCAGAACGCGGTGCGGCATTCAAGGTCACACGCTTGGTCCCATTCCAAAACCTCCTCTTACTTGTCACTGAGGACCTTCCTCCTGCTCTCCCATCCTTCACCTTTTGCACCATTTGGCCACCTCTGTCTTTTCCTGGCTTTCAGTGTTGTGCTGCAGGGCTCACCAGGACCTCTGAGGCCATCAGCATCACCACGGCCCAGTAGTCTGTGCCCCAGCCGACCCCTGTGCCCCCGAGTCACCCTGCAGTTCTGTTTGGTTTGTTCATCCAACTCAATCATTTAGAAGCTATTTTAAGGTGGGGACCCTGTTTGATGATTTCTTTCTCCCTTTAACCTTGGAAATGATAGGCCTTTGATAAATGTCTACCTCTGTTGTCGTGCTTATTATTAAGGGTAAAATTTCACTGAGAGCTTTGTGTTGTCCATGCATCATCTCATTAATTCTATGATAGCCCTTAGAAGTAGATGCTACTGTTCCCCCCATTCTGCAGTGAAGGGACCTGAATCTGAGAGGACAGCAGACGCCCAAGATCGCACGGCTGCTTTCCAACCCAGGCCCTTAAGTGCAATGCATGCCACTCTGATGGTTCCGGCTATAGTGTTTATTGCCCTGTTTATTTAGTTTTGGGGAACTTGATTAGTTGATTGTCAGTGGGACATGTTTTGAACCAGGTAAATTTTTTTATGGGACGCTGCCCACTGTTCTTGGCTCCTGCTGAGTTTGAGCTGGCAGTGCTGGGCAATGCCTCCATAGGGCAAAACCTGTCCCTGCTTGGACATGCAAGGACCGCTTCCCAGGGAGCCTGGGACTCCAGCCCTTTATGCACATACTGGTTATGAATAGCTCACATTTCCCCCAGCTAATTGCCGACATGAGTGTCCGTGTATAAAGCATAGGCTGTTGTCTTTTTTAAAAATTGAGTTACTGCGAGGTATACTGGGAGGGCAGTTTTTTCAGGTGGCTCTTGGTTGTGCCTTCTTTGTTTTTAGTGGCTCATCATGGCAGTGATCTGTGGGTATCCGTGTGTTTGATATATGCCGTCCTTTTCCTTGTCCTGATAAGAATCAGGTCTCAGTCACTGCCTTTCTTTGGAACTAGGCAGGTTTCCTGGTTCCAGTCGAACTGCCCCAGTCAGGTGGCAGTTGTACACTACTGTGCTGTGCTTTTCTTGGCTTCGGTTCCATTTCCTCCCGTCATTTGCTTTGGTTTGCATACCTGCCACATGCAGGCAGGGTGCTGGGGAGGTTGCACAGGATGCCAAAGCACAGCCCTTGGCCAGCGTGAAGTTTCTTCTGGGTTTAAGAGGAAGAGGCTTCTGTGGCTTACCCTGGCGTGCTACTGTTCGGAATTTACCTTTGGGCAAAGCTGCCTCCTCCCCAGTTACAAAGAGGGTTATTCCAAGTGCCCCTTAGTCATGCTTTTTATCAAGAATGGGTGAATGAGATGAGTCAGCTGCTGAGTGTGGGAGGCAGGCTGCTCTCCATCTCCAGGGATGTGTCAGGCAGCACCAGGTTTCTGTTGGTAAAAGGGGCTGAGAGGCAAGTCACAGTCTTTTCAAGCAGATCCACAAAGAGGGAGTGGGCAGACCTGGAGGGAGCTCCACTGGCCACATCTGCTGGGGAGGAAAAGAACCAGTCCTTTGAGTAGCTTATTTCAGAGGACCTAAATTATTTATTTGTAATTTTTTATTCTGACTGTAGTTGAATCCAACTACATCTCCTAGCTGGTTTCCTGTTTTTAGAAGTAAACGTTTATCATATGTTGGCTAGCTGTAAAAAATGGGAGTTTTTTCATTCTTATAATTCTCAAAGAGAAACCCAATCAGCTGGTTGCCTTGGTAAAATTAGAGAGGAAAATGAGAGACACTATGATACCATTTCTGGTGAATTTTTTTATTTTATCCATAATTTTTTTTTTTTTTTTTTTTGGTGAGAAAGATTGGCCCTGAGCTAACATCTGTGCCAATCTTCCTCTATTTTGTATGTGGGGTGCCACCATGGCATGGCTTAATGAGTGATGTGTAGGTCCATGCCTGGGATCTGAACCTGGGAACCCCAGCCGCTGAAGCAGAGCATGCAAACTTAACCACTGTGCCACCAGGCTGGCCCCAATCCATAAATATTTTTACTATAACTTCGTGCTTTTTTATTTCCCCCAGCAGAGAGTTATACCTGTGTTACTCTAGAGATTAGATTTGGGGTATAGATGACGTGAGAACTCCCCTTCGGTGGGCAGGGAGAAGGGAGGTTTGGGGGTAATGGGAGGGGTGCGGGCTTCCACTGGCCTACTTGTTTCTCTTCCCTGGCTGTTCCCATTCCTTCTGGGCCCTGGGAAGCCTCCAGCATCTTTCCAGTGCTCTAGCAGTGCCTCTCCCTGCCGGATTTCATTATTATACTTTGCGCTTGATTTGTGTGCAGTGGAATCTGCATGCAGGATGTGACTAAGGCACATAAAGTGTCTGTGCTGGTTGGAACTTAGCAGCTTGAATGCATGATGGCAGCACAGAACAGTGAGGCAGTGAGCCAATGAGCATCAAGCACCGTTGGTATTCAGTCTGAGAACTTGTTCTAGTTGAGAAATTTAGTAGAGTTGAGTGAGCTTTGTGGAGACCACACTTCCAAAGGGAATTGGACGTGGTTTTGCAGTTTGAACTGTCAGCCGGCTAAAACCACCGGCCCCGGCTGCTAATTCTGAGTCGGCCCCTGGAGAGGTAGATGTGCAGGTTCCCTCACACAATTCCTTTGGGTCCTTTCCTCCAGGTACCAAATAAGCACAACTGTTGAGTCTGAGAAGTGATAAAGGGCCATTGTGATAAGGCCTCCTTGGTAGACACTGTAGCTGGCATGGATGAATACGTAGAGAGGAGCATCTCGGTTAATTGGGCAGACTCACTGGCCCCGCTTTGTTCCATTAGAGGGCATGATGGGGAGGCACAAATTGTGGGAATGAGTTGGAGGTATTTATGGTTCACTTGATGTGACACCCAGCTGGTTTCTGGGACAGTGGTGACAGCAGTTACAGATCCCAGGACTGTGGAAGACCTAGGGGAGAGACACCATCCTCTGTGCAAGAGAGAGAGCCACATCACTGTTGAATCCAGAGTCCTCCCAGACTTTGACCTCCAATGCTCTGCTCGTAATTCAGTGAAAGGCCTGTGACAAACAAAGGAAGGTGTTCCACATTGCACGGAATAATTTAGTGGATATGGAAGAAAAGCTGCTTATGCTTTTTTTTTTTTGTCATACAACTCAGTGAATCATAAAGCTAGATTTTTTTCAAGGGTATCTAGTCTGGCCCTCTACCCTAACCCCCTTAGAGATGAGGGAACCTGAACTCTCACCGTTTTAGAGCAGAACGGTTCACCTGGTGCAGGTCAACTTTTGACCAGTGCCCACGATAAGAAATGCATCTTAGGTTGTGACTCAGTACTCACATAAGTAAATATGACAATCGAAAGTGTAATTGTGAAGTAATACTCTGATTACATGGAATGCACTTTGGCATTTTCAATTCTGTGCTGTTGAATTTCATTTAAACCAAAATGTTTATTGCCGTTACTAAAATGCTTCTCAACCTACTAACCAGTTATAGCCTGTCTTTTGAAAACACTCATCTGGAGGGTAGGATCCTTGGTAAAGGAAGCCATTGGCCCAGGGCTGCGTGGTTAGTTAATAGGCGATCAGAAACTGGGATTCCTCCCCAGTTGTTGTTTTTTTTGCTCAAAACTAAATGTTCCCGTTTGTCTACTTTTTACACCAGGTGAACAGAATAACTAGCATAGGCTTCTTAAATGATTTAGTTTTCCAGAGTTTTCCTCCCCTTGCCAACCCTCACCTAAAAGTGAGCCAGTTGAATCTAACCACAGTGGCAAGCAGGCTCTTGGGCAGGGATCGATGAGTCTGCATTTGATGATGGCGTCTGCCCACTGTCTCCACTGTCGGGCCATCTTTGCTCCTGTGATGGCAGCTGTGTCTTTATAGGCACCGAAGACTTTCCTCTGTGTACTGCTCTGCTCCAAGTGATGTCATCAGCTGAACTCAGGAAATTCTGTGTCCTTAACATAGTCTTTGTCTCTGAAGTAGGGCAATTTTATGCATTAGGTCTCCATTTTGAAAACATTTTTTTAAAAATAAAGCCTAAGTAGCCTCCCGTTAAGTAAAAGAAGCATGCAGTTGTATTTCAGAACAACTTTAAACGTTTTTGTCTCATCTGAGGCAAATATAAGGAATTAATAAATTCCAGCTTGATGTGTGCTAAAGAGGCTGCTTCCCTGAGCCAGCTCTTGGCTTCACTGAAAGAGCACTTTGGAATTTCTGGATTCATTCATTTATCCAGCAAATAGTTACTGAGTATTTCACACGGTGGATCCTGGCTACGCAATCCAGCCCAGCCCTCAGGTAGAGACAGGCTATCAAATGATGACACAGACACCAAAGGCAGTGGTAGAGAAATGTGTTCGGAAGCATGTTTTTTCTGTAGGAACAGAAACTTGTTTTCATTAGATTTTAAGATTCCCTCTTGTTGTGTAAGGTCTGCGTAGCTCTAGCACCGTCTGTGGGCGGAGCGTACTCCTCTTTGAACAGGTATCAAATGCTGGCGAATGGACAGTGAATTATTAATTGCTTTGTTATTTCTAAATGCCCTTGTTTTCCTCAGTTGACACTGAGCGCTGTTGGCTCCTTCAGGAAGCATGGGCTTTTGACTCTCTGCTCTCGCTTCTGCCCTTCTTAGAAAGAGCGGGATTTAGAATTGGCTGCTCGGATTGGCCAGTCGTTGTTGAAGAAGAACAAGACACTAACCGAGAGGAACGAGCTGCTGGAAGAGCAAGTGGAGCACATCAGGGAGGAGGTAAGAGCTGGTGGCAAAGGCACTCGGGCTGGGCACCATCGAAGATGATGATGTAATGGGGCCCCAGTTGGAAAGGCCCTCCCGAGGGCACACCCAAGTCCGCAGCTCCAGCTGCCTGTGCTAAAGGGGCCACCCTAGAGACGGCAAGCTGCCTTTCTCTGGCTCCTTCTGTTCACTGTCTGTCCTTCCGACAGTGTGGATGGAGTCACTCGGAGTGGGAACAGCTCTCATTCAGTAGGTCCATGGTGCCCCGTCCCAGTCCTCTAAGAGACCAGATCACCAGCACTCGGCAGAAGCACACACAGGCTAATACAACAATAAACAGGGCTTGGTGAGTGAGCGTGGGCAGGCCGGAGGCTAGCTCAGGCTGCAGAGTAAGGCAGCAATTGCACGTTCATCGTTACAATATAATTTTGTGTGTGTAGAACAAAACAAAAAAAATAACCTATTGTTTTCATAATAGGAACCCTATTATTTTCATGATAAAAATCTTAGCTGATGGAGATCAGTGATGAGAGGGAGGATGTGAATGTTTTAGGCTCGCCTTAAGAGCTGAAGTTTTCGGAGGAGCAACACTGATTCTTCTGGAAGGGATATGGTGTGACAGGAGGAGGAAGGCCAGGGAGTCCGGTGGGGTTGCTAGAATAAAAGGTAGACCAGGTCCCACTTTGTCGCTTCTTTCCCATCATCTTGTTCTTTTAACAGTGCATTTTAACTCTGAAGACTTTGATTTGATTTCCTTCTTCTCCCTTATTTTTTTAATCAAGAAACCTTCGTAGAGGGAGAGGGGAGGCCCTTATTCATGTCCCTAAGATGTGTTCACACCTTTCCCTCATTAAAGCTGTTCCCAGCTATTGCTGTCAGGATTTAATTATAGTTTTAATATGATGAAATAGAATTGCCACTATATAAGAAAAATTTTAATCCTGGGCTTTCTTGAAAAGATGATACGGTCGATACAGTTGTGTGAGGTTGACCTCTGCTTTTCCTGCCCCCAGCATCGTGACCTGAATCCCCTTCTCTCAGCTATAAAGCATGCCAGGTCAGCCTGGCCCCTGTCTGAGCCCCTTCTTAGCAGAGGGACATGCCACCGGGAACCAGTAACTGGTCACCCATTGTCCTCATGTGCTGCTTCTCCACGTTACGGCCCTGGCTTGGAGTTTCCTTGCCTCTCACAAAGAGCATCCTACACTGTGGGAGTGGAAATACCTTTTTTCCCTTGAAAAAGCTTTGAATTTGAGAACTATGATATGTCCTTCTTTGGCACATCACTCAGTCCTTGGTCTAGGTGTTGAAGCTGAAGGCTCATGCACATAAAATTGGCCTCTCCATGGAAGATATATTCACTGTATTGTGTAGGAAAGTTGGAATAAATAGACCCCAAGTCAAATTAGAGACAAAGAATTAGAACAGAATTACAATTCTTGTTTACAGCGCTGGTTCCCTATTCATCAGTGCTGAATGGGGAGAGGGCAAGTGGAAGATTTTATGGCACAGGTTTGTTTATTCTAAACCTTAGGTATAAATCAGTGTGATCTGCAGAACCATTCTAGCAGTAGTCGGTATGGCCAGTTCCTAATGGCCGCCTCTTTTCTTCCTGTATCTGAAATTCCTATCTCGTGATCATCAAGTACAAAGCAGTCTGACCAGGCTTGGCCCTGAGCCCTGAGAGGGGGCAGCAGTCACTGGATGAGGCCATGAGGTTTCCCAGGTGTGAGAGTGAGGGTTGACAAGCTGCTTGTAGCTGTGCCCCCCCAGAGCTGGCATCCCCAGGGTCTGGTCAGGGTCCTGGTTCCAGATGGGATTTGGTTTCAGCAGAAGCAAATGGCCTCTTCTTTCATTTGGTAACATGACCCATTTCTCTGGCTGTTTGCCCAGCTGGTCATCTGGCTATTTGCAGAGCCCATATGCTGTCTTGTCCCCCCACAACCATCATTCTAGAGTCTTCTAGTCCCCTCTTACCTCTCTTCTGTACCAAAGTAAAAATTAAAAATTTAAGCAGAGGGGTTTCTGCCAAAAAGTAGTGGGTTATATTTTTCTTAAGTGGGATCAGACTCAACCCTTTATTTTCTTTGAATAGCAGAAAATCAATTACATGCCTTCACTTTTAATCAGGAATCTTAAAAACGTTGTCACTCAGCAGTAGGTGGGCCTTAGTGGGGACGTGGTCACGTTTGGGGAGTGAAGGACGGCCCGTTTCTGTTTGTGCAGGTGTCGCAGCTCCGGCATGAGCTGTCCATGAAGGACGAGCTGCTTCAGTTCTACACCAGCGCCGCGGAGGAGAGCGAGCCGGAGTCAGTGTGCTCAACTCCGTAAGTCACTGAGGGCCTGGTCTGGAGGCCGCAGCACGGGCCGGTTGTTGTCCATTTCCTTGGAGTTGCCTAGACAGGGTCACTTTCACCAGCAATGCAGGTCAGCTGGTCTCAACCATCTCCAGGGCAAGCATCTCTGAGTGTCTCAGAAAGAATGATTTACTCTCTTAGTGGGATTTTAGTTTTCCTCTAGCCGGCTCTTATTGCTTCTTGGTCAGCTTAGATTGACTTGGCCCGGCACGTTAATGGGTAGCAGGGTGGGCTCTGCTGTCAGAGAAAATAGAGTTCTGGAGCCAGAGGTGCCATGGTGGGTCCTGGGGACAGACAGTGTGGGGTTTCTCTAAGTCAGCAGAGCCTCATATTAGGGGCGCGAACTTAGAACCTGATAGGCTGAGTTCAGTTCTCAGCTCTGTGGCTTGCTAGCTGTGTGCTCTTGGCCAGGTTACTTAACTTCTCTGTACTTGTTTCCTCATTTGTAAAATTGGGCTAATAATAGTTCTCAGAGTTATGAGCATTAAATGAGTTAAGACATGTAGAGTACTCAAAACAGTTCTTGGCACATAGAAGCTCATTATAAGTATTAAATAAACTCCCAGGCATCTGGAATTGTGGAGGCTTCAAAGAGAGTTGATTCCCCCGAATTCTAAGGCAATATGGCAACTGCAAATTGGGGACACAGAGTTGGGATGTGGGTCAGAAGTGTTGGTATGCCTGTGCCCCGGCAGGTGCTATTTTCCTGGGGGGGAGGGAGCAGCCTGTGGGTCGTTGTCACACCTGCATGTCATGGACTCTCCTTGAAACAGCCCTTTGCACTTCCCTGTGGTTTGCCAGCTGGAGGGGGGAACCATCTCTGTGTCTAGAAAGTGATCGTGCCCCCCCCTGCCCCCGCTGCCCCCCTCCAGGCTGAAGAGGAATGAGTCATCCTCCTCTGTTCAGAATTACTTTCATTTGGATTCTCTTCAAAAGAAGCTGAAGGACCTTGAAGAGGAGAACGTGGTACTTCGATCCGAGGTGAAGTGCACTCCCTGCTCTTGTGTAGAAGGGTGGTGGCCCCGTCTGCCTTATCTGGCGAGAATAGCCGTGGTGACAGCACCATTCTCAAAGGAGACGGGCTGTGGAGGAACCTGAACCTTGGCTCACAGCTGCCACCAGGGCCCAGCAGGCGTGCCTCACTCATGTGCTGGGCATTGCCTTCCAGTGCAGCGCACGCCATCGGGCAGGGTGGACAGACTGCTGAGTTATGCAGTGTGTGGACAGGCAAGTGGCCAGTCCCTCCTCCTCCACAGTCGGGGCAAACCTCCCACAGTGGGGTCTTTCCATGGTGTTCTCCAGCTCTGACGCAGCAATGCCCTAGAGGCCCAGTGTGAAAGCCTCTCTATCATGTTACTACAGGTCAGGTGTGCTGTCAGGAAATATACACAAGAAGCTGGAGACATTTTAATTAGGTTAAAAAGGCTGAGCTGAGATAACTTGGGAACTCAGCTTTTGAGTTTTGCTTTTTTTTTTTTTTTAACTTTTCCCCCCCTCCTCAAAGCCCCAGTACATAGTTGTGTATTCAAGTTGTAAGTCCTTCCAGCTCTTCTGTGTGAGCTTCTACCACAGCATGGCTACTGGCAGACGAGTGATGTGGTTCCGTGGCTGGGAACTGAACCTGGGCCGCCGAAGCAGTGAGAGTGCCGAACTTCAACCACTAGGCCCTCAGGGCTGGCTCAGCTTTTGAGTATTTCTATTGGCCAGTCATTGTGCTAGGCACTGGCCTGCATTCTTTTTTTAAATTCTTCCCAACAAAGCTGGAAGCTGGTTATTTTCATTCTCATTTACAGTGAGAAAACTGGGACCCAGACTGCTGGGTGTTTTGATTTGCCAAGATCCTGCAAGTTAGTGAATGACAAAGCCAGGATTTGCAAGTCTCTGTGACTCCAAACCCCATATTATTTCCCTTCACCTGCTGCCTCTATCCAGAAACACAGATGCATGCAAATTTAGTGCATTTTGTCTTAATTATCAGTGAGTTTATGCTCTCTAGCCAGAGGTATGGGGCAGCTCTGTTTATCAGGTCCTTGATTGTCAGGTCTGGGCTGCATGCCCACCTAAGATGGCCCAGGGCTCCCCGAAGCCCTCCAGTAGGGCAGACCACTTGTCACCCTGAACTTCCCCACACACTGGACAGCACCTCATGTCTGCACTCGACAGGATGCACTTATGCACAAGGAAAGGTCCGTGTTCTCTTGGACCTCGCCTCTTCCAGTCTGCTGTTTACTGATGGGTTGCCAAGCTTCTCTGCCAGCCAGTGGCTGAGCCAAGATTGCTGCCCAGTGGTCCCCATTCTGAGTCCAGTGCTGCCCCTTCCAGGAAATGCTCCAGTCTTGGGCACAGCGATTGGTCCGGCTTAGAATCTTCACCTAAAACAAGCTGAGGGATTCTGATCCCAACCACAAATCCTGGCTCTTCCACCTCAGCTTGCAGGAGTGCAGTGTCTCTCTGGGGCCAGGACCCCAGAGCTCAGGGACACCTGCTCTTTAACTGGCATTTCCTTGGGGTCTTCAGATCTCTTATCTTCCCACCTTTTCAGCTGGGACCAAGCTATCCAGAGACCTGGGGTAGCTCTTGTGTCTCTGAATTTTAATCCTTTCATATTGTACCTTGTTTTACTAAGCTGAATACAGAGGGTTAACTAACTCAGTACTTCACAGGACAGTGCCTGGCACAAAGTAGGTGCATAAGTGTTAGCCATTCTTGTCGTGGTTAGCCTTAGAATGCCTGTGGGAGGCAGAGCTGTGTCCTAGGCACTGTTTGGGTCACAAAGGGGTCCACGTCTGTGAGCTGAGACAGACACAGATGAATAAACAGAATGACACAGGGGTGGTGTTTACAGAGTTTTAGCAGAGCAAGGTGAATGGCTCTTGTGCACATTGCTCTGTGTGCTGTGCTCTAGTGATGCACATTTTCGGCTTTGAGAACTTGAGATTCATTATCTAAGCAGAGCATTGGGATTGACTTTCTGTATTTGAGGGTGCAATGGGTGACAGGTGGGGAGATGCTGAAGGGTGGCTTCCCAGACCCAAGTTAGCCCTTGCTCCATGCCCCAGACTTGCCTGCCCGACCAGCCCAGGTGTGAATGCAGGGCCTCTGACCTGAGCCTTGTCCACAGGCCTGCCAGCTAAAGACGGAGACCATCACCTATGAAGAGAAGGAGCAGCAGCTGGTCAACGACTGTGTGAAGGAGCTGAGTATGTTCCGGCCCTCCTGCCCCACTCCTTTTCTGTCTTTTTACTTTCCACACCTGTCATCATTATGACTAGGCAGATTTGCATCACCCTTGATCAAGTGCAGTCTCCCTGCCAACCTGGGCTCAGTAGCATCTATCTTAAGACTAGAGGCCTCCCCTGATCTTGCGTGGCACCCCTCCCCCTGATTTGTGAGAAATTGAGTGTAGGTTGTCAGCCATACATCATCTCAATTTTGCGCTGAGATAGATATTTAATTTTAATTTTGGCTTTCTGCTGGAATACTGGAAGTCTTCAATGGTTAAGTTAGGCCCAGCGTCAGAGTCCTGTGTTGAAGATGTCAAGAAACTGCTTTCTAGTAATTTGATTTGTGAAAGTTGAGGCCAGATTTCTCAGGTTTGCAAATAAGTACTTCTCTCCATCCTCTGCATTATAAGTTTACAGGTTAAAGTCAAACAAAAGGGCAAACAGAATGTTTTGAGTTTCAGCAAAATACTAAGTAAATGAAACACACCCTATGTTCAAATCTAGTAAAATGAGTTATGGCTCTGAATATGGGTTGAAAACACCCAAGGCAATTGTATTCTGCATGGCCATAGTTCCTTTTTAGAACAGAGTGCAGCAGGGGTTCCTGTTAATGACGTGGGTCTGCTCATTTGTGGAATGTGGGGATTTGCCCAGACACACCTTTGTTTTCCTGTGGCATCTCCTGGCTGACTCCTGAAGCCTGCCTGGTTTCCTCTGGGAAGGCAGCCTTGGTTAGGGGAGTCAGGCCCCTGCACTGAGCCTGGGAGCCACAGCTGGGGTCGGGTCCTTCTCACGACAGACTGAGCCCCAGGAAGCTGCTTTGCTTTACTCTGTAGCAAAATGGGCACTCTAAGTCCTTCTTCATATACGTTCTCCACTCCCCCCACCATGTCTTGTGATAAAGATTTTTTTCCTTGTACAAACCACAAAGAAACCATTCTCTCTTGGTCTGCATATGGGGTTTTCTGATTTACTCTTGTGATTGTCGTTTTTTGCTCAAAGGGGATGCCAACGTGCAGATTGCCAGTATCTCAGAGGAACTGGCTAAGAAGACGGAAGATGCTGCCCGCCAGCAGGAGGAGATCACACACCTGCTGTCACAAATAGTTGATTTGCAGAAAAAGGCAAAAGCTGTAAGGTTTCTGTTTCTCGAGCTGATACAAAAGTGGCCATTCTGAGATTGGGAAGGGACATTTACCCCCAAAGACAATGCCCTTTGGTTTCCTATTTTAGGAATTTGTGCTCCTCCTTTGGAGAAAAAGCTTAGCGGATTCAATAGTATAAAACTGGTTGCCCCTGAATTAGCAAGGGGATTATATTTTTCACCACTTATCTTCTAAAAATAATCTGCAAATTAATAAAATTCATTAAGAAAGCTGCTATAGGTATGGAGTTTTGGAATTTAATTATGAATCATCTAGTCTAGTATATGTTTTTACACAGTGCATCTGGTATGTTCTGCAGCAGAACAATAACCCCTTTAGATTTAAGATCAAGCAGCAAAAAACAGCGTAGTTTCCCACATCAGACTTTTGCTGTGAGCGTGGAGAGCAGCTGTGACCTTGGGGGTGGGGAGTGGGCTATAGAGAATGAATAGGGATATAGGAAACCCTTTACCTTCAAGATTTTATAAAAGATGACATTTTACTCCAGTATAAGATAAAAATCTCATTGTAGACATGTGATAAGATCACAACAGATCAGGTAATAAGAGGAAAGAAGACTCTTCTAAGTATCTTAAAAGAGAAGCTGATTGACCTCTGCCACCTTTTAGTGCACAGTGGAAAATGAGGAACTTGTCCAGCACCTGGGGGCTGCTAAGGATGCCCAGCGGCAGCTCACAGCCGAGGTGAGTGTCCCACCCCCATGTCATCAGGGCCCCCGATTCCAGTTAAGGTGCCTCAGCCTCCCTCTGACAGGCTGTGGGATGTCCTTCTTAACGGCCATTTTTATATTGACTTGAATGTCATTCTTACCCCCACGGCAATTGCCAGTCCGTGCTGATGCTGTTATGGTCCTGAGGGCTTGGGAGGCCGTGCAGCCTCCTGAGAAACATTCCAGAAAGTGAAGTGACATGTAAAAGGAACCCCCTTCAAAGATGTGACTTGAAATGAGGCTGTGATGATTTGCTCTGCCGTTCATTTAAAGTTGTTTTTATCTCAGTTGCCTGTTATTACTTTAGGAGATTTCTGAGGCTATCAGCGCACCCCAAGTGAAAGAAAAGCTGAGCCTTGAGGATTCTTGGGCGTTTGGCCTCAGTCCCGGGGGCAGCCTGTCCCAGTCTTTCTGGCTCTCTGGGTGGGTGAGTGCACGTGCCCACAAGATCCTGACTCTCCTCCCTTTCTGGTGTCCCGCAGCTGCGCGAGCTGGAGGACAAGTACGCAGAGTGCATGGAGATGCTTCACGAGGCGCAGGAGGAGCTCAAGAACCTCCGGAACAAGACCGTGCCCAACACCACCTCCCGGCGCTACCACTCGCTGGGCCTGTTTCCCATGGTGAGTGCCTGCTAGCTTCCTGACACCCGCGTTCCCACCCAGAGGGCAGCATGGATGCTGGTGGTGGGGCTCCGGGCCTGGAGTGGAGTCTGCAGGTGGCTTCTCATTGTGCAGCTTGGATCTGGATCCGAGTCCAAGGCTTATGAGCCCAGCTGGTGGTTTCTTAACCACATGAGACAAATTGATTCTTTGTTTTCCATCCCTCTGTAGCTGCCGTCTTTTCTACTCCTGCGCTTAAAACATAAATTGGATAAGAACTAGATTTAATAGGGACCTCAGATATTCGGAAGATGTTACTTATACATTACTCTGTCTGACGTTATCAAAGTACGTGCTATTTTGGCCTCTTAAGTGCATTCCCGAATTCTTAAATTGCCCATATGGTTCTGCTGGTCATTTGTGTGCTTGTTTATCATTCTCCTGGTGGCTTTTAGTATCTGTGATCTGAAAAAATATTTCCCTCTGTGCTGGGTGTGGCATTTTAATATTTTTCATGTTATTTCCCCACAGTCTTATTTCCCCTGGCCTGATTTGTGTCATGTCTGGGCTTTAGGGAACATGGCTGAGAAGGGATTTTCCAGGACGTTGACCTCTCCCTGTAGTTTGGGCGACACAGGGCAGTTTCCCTCTGCTGGTCATTGCCCTGTGACATTTGGAGAGCTTACACCTTTACCTTCTTCTCTCAGGATAAACCCCTTGGAGGTGGGGACCATGTCTTATTTGCTCTTTTCCTCCTTCCCTCTGTTTAATACTCCGCACCTGGCACAGTGGTATTTTGTAGACTGTAGAAGCTTGATAGATATTAGATTTGGATAGGTGGATGGACAGACTGAAGAACAGACTACCAAGAACTTTTATATTCAGGCTCTATTCCCATGGTTTGATGAAATACCAAATTCTCTCTGAGGAGAGAATAATTTTTGAGAAAAACTTCCCTAAATGAGATAGGTGTGGATGGCTGTTTAAATGCTTCTGAAACTCAGTCCCTTCCGCATTTGGTCTTTCCTTGGGGCTCTTTCCCTTCACCACCCTCCCACACCAGACACTGTCCTTCCATCCCTTCTTGTCTCGCCTACTTTTCCTAAATCATGATCTCTTTTTCTTCTTTGCTTTTGCACCGCAAAGTCAGGCAAGAGCTCTCTCTGTCTCTACTTGATTGAAATCGAAGGGAAACAAAAGAAAGACAGGGAGCATAAATCATCAGCTTTCCAAGGGGCAGACTGGTGACCCAGTGATTCCAGGAATCCCAGGAAAGTCAGCAAAGAACATTCTGTCCCCCGAATTCCTCCATCTAAAGCTAACCGCACTCGGCTCCCAGACTGGCCTGTGTAGCTTTGCACGCCTCATGCCTCGGTTTCCCTCCTTCCTGACTCCTCATCTCAGTGCAGTGGTCTCCTGGGGCCGTCTTGTTCCTTGTGCTTCTAGGATTCACTCCACTGCATTCCCCACTCTCAAGGACAGACCTGCATTTTAAAACTAAACCATTACGTAAAAAATGTTGAATTGAAAATCTGCGTGTGGGTTTCTTCTGGAGAGATTCTCAGCTTTCATATTTGCTGAGGTAAAGCTTTTGTTTGCCTTTTTCTGTAGCTGTTGGCACAGCTCAGTTTTTGAAGATGGCTATTTTTAAGGTGCCTTATGCATTAAAGGTATTTAAGGCAATCTAAAGCTTGTACCATGCCCATGTTTCTGGAGCAGAATGCCCAGATCTGCCTTTCTTGCTCCCAGCCCTTCTAATTGCTGAATAAAACAGTGAGTAGCAGTTTTTGCTCAAGTATGTTCCCAGTTCTCTTGCCTTATGGCAGGAGTTCTTAATCTTGGATCCACAGTCAGGATTCAGGGGGCCCGTGAACTTTGAGGGAAGATGATACCTTTTATTTCCATTAATCCCCACCTGTACACAGTGTGTCCTCGTATGAAGGCAGACAACAAACCACAGCAATATTAGCACTCCCGGTGACGTTGTCACTAGTCGAAATCACTGCTATTTTCATAGCACATTTCAGTTGCTGCAAATGTATCAAAATACTATTTATGCTAATCTCCATTTCAAAACGACAGTAATTACCAATCCTAAAGCCAGATCTGATACATTACACTATTACAGTTGCTGTTATTAATATTCTAGTAACTAGTTCAATATATCTGGCTTTTTTTTTTTTTGGTGAGGAACATGATTGTCCCTGAGCTAACACCTGTGCCCATCTTCCTCTATTTTATATGTGTGATGCTGCCACAGCATGCCTTGATGAGTGGTGTATAGGTCTGTGCTTGGGGTCCGAACCCACGAACCCCGGGCTGCCGAAGCAGAGCATGCAAACTTAACCACTACGCCACCAGGCCGGTCCCTATCTGACTTTCTTTTTAATCCTAATTATTTTATTCATTTAAATGTATTATTCTGAGAAGGGGTCCACGGCTTCCCCAGACTGCCAGAGGGGATCATGGTCAAAAATAATTACAGACTCTGCTTGCGACTTCCTCCCAGCATAGCTTTGTAATTAGTAGCTTGATATCTCATTTCTCTTAAGTTGTATGAAGGTCCTTTCCTCTTGCAGAACTCTGCATGCAAACCATATGGTGAATAACAGTATTAAGAAAAAGAAACTGGCTTAAAAAAATGTCAGACTCACCTAGGGAAGCCCTTCACCATGGGGTTATGTTTAATGGCAATCTGTGGGTAATAATTACTAAATAAAATTGCATATTTGTGGATAGGAATTGAAAACATGCCCACTAACCCTTTACTGATTGAGCTTCCTGCCAACTCCTATCGCGTGTCCCCACTTGATTCCAGCTCATACTGGAGTGTCTTGGTGGACTGTGGGGCTGTGGAGATAGATGGACATCCTGGAGTCCCCATGTGCTGACTGCTGGGAAGCCACTGGCCACAGTGGCTATGTAAATTTAAATCAATTAAAATTAGTACAATTAAGAATTCAGCTCCTCAGGCACACTGGCCACATTTCAGGTGCTCAGGAGCCATCTGTGGCCTGTGGCTCCCATATTGGACAGTGTAAATAGAGAACGTTCCCGTCATTGCAAGTTCTGTTGGTTAGCATGGATGTAGCCCTTCCCTTCAGGTTGTCCTACATGGTGTCCTCCTCGAGGCCTCAGCAGGTGCCTTTCTGCACACAGTAGGTGGTTCAGGGGGAGGGGGCACTCATCAGGCAGGCTGTTTTGTTGAGTCTTGCTTTCCACTGGGGAATTGAGACGTCATCAGTGACTGGCCTTCCCCTGATCCACAAAATTCACAACCTACCTAGAGAAAGACATAAGTTCGGAGAACTCACAAGGACTTGATGTGTTGGGTGTCTATGTATGGAGGAAATGAAAGATTACTGGTAGAAATGAGACGTGACCTGGTTGTTAAAGGTGGGTGGACCACAGATCGTTGGTGGGGAGAAGAACTTTCCTGGCATGGGGGCCAAGGGGAGCACAAGAATAGAGGCCTAGATGGCAGTGCCCACGATTCAGGTCCCCCCGCCCAATAAGTTCTCCGCCTCTCCTTGTGGTCACAGTCACAGCTTCACTGTTTGGCTGAGGGAACATGGGGTTTGCTTTGAGACCCTTAGCTGCACGGAAGTGAAGGGCCTTTACACTCGTGCTCATTGGTGCCTGCTGTGTTCAGAACCACTGTCGGGCTTGCTCAGTGAAGGTTTGTAACCGGCGAATGCTGTCAACTTTGAGTTGTGGGAGGTCTTCAGACTTCTGAGGCCTCAGTTTCACTCCTATGGCTAGCCAGGCCATGTGCCTCTTTTAGAGACAGAGCGTTTGAATTTCTGCTCACTCGGTGTGTATCTTCTGGCTTTTCCCAGGACTCCTTGGCAGCCGAGATTGAGGGAACGATGCGCAAGGAGCTGCAGTTGGAAGAGCCCGAGTCGCCAGACATCGCGTACGGCCTTAGTTCTAAGCTTCCCAGAGCCTGCCTTGTGACCTGTGGTGATCAAAACCAGCCCTGTTTGGGCCTCAGACACCAACAGTGATCACTGTGATCCTTCCACAGATTAAGGGAAAGATGAGAACACAGCTGACAACACCCCCAGCTCCTCTTGTTAAGTTTTAAAGATAAATTATGAACTTCCAGAAAGTTGGGGAAGGGGAGATGTGTTTCCCATCTCTTTTAACACAAGCTCCATGTGGACACCACCACTCATTTTTATCTTTCCTTTCAGTGGAAAACACTACTTTAAAAATTTATAGCATCTGTTAGGAAAGGAAAAATAGGGTGCAATATGAAATAAAGAGGGCTCTTCAAGGGGTATGAGCAAGGGTTCCATTTCCTTTCTGGGATATTGGCCTCTACCATCTTTCTTCCTAACTAGAGACCTTGTACTTGGCCCGCCCCGAGGTTTATAAGGAAGCCGTGGATCCGATTTCATTGTGTTTTCTCTGTATTCAAACCCCATTGACAAAACATAAGTCAGATCCTGGGAGTGACCAGTGGCCCTGAGCCTCATGCATGTGTGAAGCCCTCTGCATCCCAGAAAGAAGTGACTGTTACAGCAACCTGCCTACCTTTTTCTCCTTAAAAGGGAACAAATGAGCATCAACACGTAGTTCTGCTCTTAGAAATAGCAGTTTCCAAAAAAAAGATTAATCTGATGTTTATCTTCTCACTATAGAAATTTAAGACTAATTTTTTTTTAATATATGCTTTTTTTTTACATATATGAAGGGTCAGCAGATACTCATTCTACACATATTTATTGAGCGCTATTATGTGTTGAACAGTGAACTCTGTCCTCTTGGAGTCTGTGTACTAGTAACCATCCTGAAAGAAGGAAACTAGGTGGAAGACAAAAGTACCACTTACATATTTTTATTTGGAGGTCAAGCTTAAGGACACTGAAAAGCAAGATCACTCTTGCTGGCATCAACTTTAGCACACAGCCATGTATCAGAGCCCTGCATTCAGTGGGTGTTGAGTCTCTCGAATTTCAACCAACTCCCTCAGAAAACACGTGGAAGGCACAGGTTGCTTGGGTCTCACGTGAGCCAGCTGCATTTTGGCTCCTCAGCTGATAGTTTTGGAGGGTTTAACTCCAAGGTCATTCCTGCATTTGCTTATTTATGGACGATGTTGTGTCTCCCCAGGCACCAGAGGCGAGTCTTTGAGACTGTGAGAAACATCAACCAGGTGGTCAAGCAGAGGTCTCTGACGCCCTCCCCCATGAACATCCCCGGCTCCAACCAGTCCTCCGCCGTGAACTCCCTCCTGTCCAGCTGCGTCAGCACCCCCCGGTCCAGCTTCTATGGCAGTGATGTTGGCAACGTCGTCCTGGACAACAAGACCAACAGCATCATCCTGGAGGCGGAGTCGGCTGACTTGGGGTGAGCCAGCCAGGAGCTTTTATCTTTCTGTTTTGGAGAGAAGTGGTGTGGACTGAACACAGCTTCAGTAATCAGAAGAGGGGGGCTGATAAGAATCGCCTGAAAAGTATCGACCTTTTGGTTCTCAGATGTTTTACCAACCCACTGAGCTTATGCTTATCCTTGATGCTGCTATTTTGACCAGTTTAAAGAGGTATGACAGGATGCACCAGGACCTCTGCTTTTCTGTAAAATGCTGAAGGGCAGAGGATAAGTGAGTATTTTTTTCTGTTAATCTTCACTGTTAGGCTACAGAATAGACATTTGTTTCATGAACCCTCTGTAGCCTGGATGCCTGAAAGCCTGAGGAGGACTCAGGCCCTGTCTCCTGACCAGGGTCTAGTTTGCTTCAGAAGGTGGAGTGCTGGACGCCCAGCAAGTGCCTGTCACACCGCGCATCCCTGGGGTGGGCCTTCCTCAGCAGTGGTCAGTCCCTCTTTGTCCTGAAGCCCTGCAGAACACTCCCGCCCCCACTGCCGACTTTTACATCCTTTTCCTGTGACAATATAATTGGTTCTTCTGATAGAGGGGGTCAGATGGTTGGGAAAGTGCTTGAGCTCTCAGCTCCGTTAATGCAAGAGGAAAGAGAGGCATCCCTCCAACCAGCTGCCTGCCTGGTATCTAGGAACTGCGGCCGCAGGAAGAAGGCTCCTTCCTAAGGGTTCCTGAGGGACATGTTTATAGGGACTGGGTTTATTTCTTCAGTGTGTGCAAATTTTCATTCCACCTTAGTGCTCTCTCCCCTCTGCTCCCCCTCCCCCCCAAAAAAACCCTGGGCAGGCATTTGTTTTTGCAGTTTTCACTAAATTTCAGCTACTTGCCTCCGTTTCCTTAGAAAACCCTGCACCATGCGGAAATGTCCACCCCCATACGTTTAGCAGGAAGGCCTTCATTGTACATGATACAGCGCCCCCTGCTGGCGTCCCACGCTCACCCCCGTTTCCCCTCCTTCCAGAAACAACGAGCGGAGTAAGAAGCCGGGCACGCCGGGCACCCCGGGCTCCCACGACCTGGAGACGGCGCTGAGACGGCTGTCGCTCCGCCGGGAGAACTACCTCTCGGAGAGGAGGTTCTTCGAGGAGGAGCAGGAGCGGAAGCTCAGGGAGCTGGCGGAGAAGGGCGAGCTGCTCAGCGGCTCCCTGACGCCCACGGAGAGCATCATGTCGCTGGGCACGCACTCGCGCTTCTCAGAGTTCACCGGCTTCTCCGGCATGTCCTTCAGCAGCCGCTCCTACCTGCCCGAGAAGCTCCAGATCGTGAAGCCGCTGGAAGGTGATCACAAGGGGCCCCGGCCTCTCTCTGCCCTCCTCAGCGACTCCCTGTGGTCCCTGATCCACCACCGGAACGCGGGGAACCTCTGTCACGCCTACTCCTTCTTCTTCCGAGATAGCCACCCGCGCTGCTGGTTTGAGTTCCTCTGATGGGAGCTCAGCCCAGGCCTCCGTCCCTCCCGGTGCAGGTTTGAAATGCACACAGGCAGCCGAGACTAACCTCAGCCTGCTAAGCCAAAGAAAAGGAAAGACCGCCTTGGCGTTACTTTCCGAGTTCATTCTTTTGCGTTTAGGACCTTAGAAATAAACATCTTTTTGAGAGTCAGAGGCACTGCTAACATACTTAAAATTAATTAGGTCATGCCTAGGGGTCTGAGAAGCGTAGAGAATTAATATTTTGCCTTCTCAGAGATGTTGGTGTCAGGGAGGCATGCCAAGCAAATGCTCCAAGTTGATTTTTCAATAACCACAAGTGAATTATGATTTGTCGGCTCACATGTTCTGCTTTGATCTTCAAATAAAGAGAGTGTGGCTTTCTTCCAATGAAGTGTGTTCTGAGCAAGGCTCCTAGACTTCTGCAGTTTGCCAGCGAGTTTTGTGCCCTCCTCAAGCCTGCCTTTTCCTGGGGCAGTTCAGTTTTTAGTACCAGACACCCCAGATGATTAACCTCATGGAAAAACTCACCTTTTCTATTTTTGTTTTAGGCATTATAAAATGTCTTCCCTTACCTATCAGTACCCAGCCAAGAGCCACCAAACGTTTGTAGTTTTTCATTTTTTTTACTCCTTTAGTCTGGAAACCCATGAGAGTTTGAGAAGGTATTTTAGAATTGCATAATACATATCTGATGCAAAGCCAAATCAAAATTTCTTTAAGGCAGTATTTCTCAACTTTTTTTACTGACCCCTTTAAGAAACTATTTTAGACATTTATTCCTAATTGCTCCCTTCCAAAAAATTTAATACCAGATATACTTTTTATGTACTATATGTATATCTGTGCTCTGTTCCTGAGAAGACTACAATTATTTTGATCCCATAGAACCCATTTTCATTCTCTCAGGAGCAGTATCACCCATGTTGAGAATTCGTGCTGTAAGATGAGGCTGTGCTTGTGAAAGACCCAGGACATGCTGGTCCCCTATTCGCCAAAGGAAGGAAGAGGGTGGGCTAACATTCGTTTTTCATGAGTATTTTTTAATTGTGTAATTTAGGTCCTTCTTAGATTTCAGAAAAGGGATGGCTCATTCTTTTTCAAATTGTTTATTCAGTTGTAAGCTTGGTAATTGTTTTCTGATCCACAATTATGTCTGTTTTTCTTTCAATAAAATCTTCCATTTCTGCAATTTTACTTTTTGCCTTTCTTTTCTTTTTTTCTCCTTTGTCTCGCAAAGGTCATTGGAATTTATCATCTTGTCTCTGTTTTCTATATTTTACTTTGTGTTTCATTAGATCATCTAAAAATATGTTTTTGGATTCATTTTCCAAGCATTATTGCAGGAATAGATTTTTTTTTTAATTTATTTTGACCAACTCATCTTTTTTCTTGTAATCTTGTGACTTAAACAGCAGTATTTTCGTGATAAGTGAATAGAATAAGAAGAAATCCCATTAGATTTGCAAAATAAATTTCATCTATAGTACCCTGCTCACCGGGAAGCTACATCACTATATTAAGCAGTCTTATCTTATCACTATGGCATGTAACGTATCCTCATGATAGAAATCCCTCTGGCTCCATTTTGTAGTTCTGTGACTTCTTAGCTGTTTAAACTACAACCAATATTTTTTTTTTCTTCCTCCCCTCCACAGTTCTTTTTGTGTCACTGTGTTTAATTTGATAAAATGGAGTGCTGGCATGGAAGTCTGTCTGATGCCAGGTTGAGTACAGCTCTAACTGTGGTGTTGGATAAGTTACTTCACCTTTTTGAGCCCTGTTTCTCTTATTTGTGAAATAGGGCTTTTGTCTGCCACAGAAGATTGTGGTGAGGAGTAAATGTGATGTGTTTTGTATTGTGCCCAGTACCTCTTAGGGTCTTATTAAAATGTAGGCCCCTCTTCCAGCAGCTCAGGTCTAAAGTGTGGCCTTACCCATGTTGAGACCTGGTCCAGCGTTGTGCTAGGGCCGTGTTCTTGCACCATCCTTTTCCACTAAGAAGCTGATAGGATTCCTGTGATCTCCAGTAGCCCAGGTAAATGTCCCTGGGGTGAGGCCCCTGGAGAATGTTAGCTAGTATCACAGCAGATAGCCAATCTGTGTCTTCCATCTATGTCTCCCTTACCTGTTTAATTAGTCTTGCTATCTGCTTATTGGTGTCAGCCAAAATAGCTGGGCGAGGTGTTTAAGAATGCCAGCACTCTTGTCTCTTCGTCTTACCTTACTCATTTTAGGCAAGTGAAGAACCAATGAAATTCAAACTAGAGATATATCTGCATTAAAAAGATGAGGCAGGCAGTATTGTTTCCCATATATTTTTCTCTTCCTTTCTGATTAATTATAACCAGATAGTATTTCCAAATAAATAAGGTAATATGTAATTAGGGAAAACCACACACTTATAAGCCGTACATCATCCAGCAGATTTAGTTCTAACGTTTAAGCTCCAAGTGCTCTGCTCACATAAATGGATTTGGTTTTCTTCTCCTTTGATGACATGAAAATGTTTTCATTAGAAGAGTGGGGTGTGGAGGGAAGGCGAACAGAAGGAAAGGAACAGTGATCGCAATTACCTTTCCACGCTGTCCTTGCCCTGTTGCAAAGAACTTCATCTTGGTGCCAATGAGGGACACGAAGCTTCCTTTCTTTCCCTGCCTGGCCCCAGCCTCGCTGTCATGGAAGGAAGGTAGGAGTTCAGTGATTCTCCTGCTTAGTGCCTGACAAATCAAAGCAGCCAGGCTGGGGCATGAGCCGGGGAAAATAAGGGGTAGAAAAGAGGCAACAAAAGCTCTGAATAAGATGTGATTCATATTTAATTTTTAATTTGTGTGCCATCTTGTATCAAAGGATGGACTTCAGGCAGCCAGGAGATCAGTAGAATTCCTCCATGGTGGTCCAGGCAGTGGCAGTGGACGGGAAGTGGGTTGTGAGGTGTTCTGCCCAGCTCCTGAGCTCAGTAAACTCCCCTGGGGCTGAGAACCAGTCAGGAGAGGAGATGGTCCATGAGCCCCACCATGTGACATAACTAAGTCAGATGTTTGGAGGCCGTCACCAGCATTCACTTTTGCAGACTAGAAAACACCTGTATGAGGATTAGAAAAGCTGCTCAGGTGTGTTATTGACCTGATTTCTGAGACTCACATATGTGAGTCTGCTGGCCAAGAGGCAGTCTATATAGTTAAGGGGGTGGACGCGAGCCAGCCTGGGTTTGAATCCCAGCTTGGCTACTGGCCAGCTGTTACAACCTCTGGCAGGTTACTTGCCCTCCCTGTGCTCAGTTTCCTCATCTATAAAATGAGGATGACAGAGTTATGACGATTAAGTGAGATAATAAATGTAGACCTCTTAGAAAGTGCTGGCACTTAGTAAGTGCTCAGTAAAGGTTGGCTGTTCTCATGTGAGTAAGGGAGGCCCAAGGCGTGGGCTAAAAATCCAAGCACCATGTATCTTTCCACACAATCTTTCAGTTGTAACCTCACTAAATTTCCTTGGCTGTGTGTTTTCAGGGAATGCAAATAACCCGTGCACTTCTGTAGCCTCTTAACTCCAAATGGCAAACCTTTTGTAGCCTCATTTCCCCCTCGAGCCCATACATGGGGTGGGGACAGATGGGGGCAGTCTGTTGAATGGATCAGGGGTCAAGGCCTATGGGGCTCCGGTTGGGGCCCAGACCCCTAGCCTCACTGTGTTCTTTTCCAATGCCTTGTAAACGTCTTGAGCCCCCTTCAGAAGGACAGGGAGATTCAGCACTTCCTTGACACAGTTCTTCACTTTCCAGTGTGTCGACTTTCCCTTTCTCCCCTTCCAAAAGTAGAGATGATGTGGTCATCCCGGGGATTTCTCATCCTTCTAAGACCCATATGTGCAGTCCCCAGCTGGAGGTCATAATGCTTTGTTTCAGATTTCTTCCCCTGCACTTTTGTTGCCAGGAATGTGCCTGTGCTTCCAGTGGACACATGAACAGGGGACCCATTATGGATTATGGATGGGAGTCTCTAGGAGGGGGCACGAGAAATCGCACCAGCAGGAGTGTGTGTGTGTGTGTGTGTCTCCTGGTGGGCTCTGGACCACACCCAGAAGTTTCACTGCCCACCATTTGTGCTTCTCGCTTAGCCCGGTTCCTGGCTGGAATGTTGATATCCTTGCTTGTTTTCAGACCTGTGGATTTTAGGGGGCGGGCAGTGTGAGATTACTGAAAGAACTTGGCCTTTAGCACTGAACCCTGGCTCTACCAGTGCTAATTCCATGACTGGACAATGATCTTACTTCAGTGAACCTCGGCTGCCTCATCCCTAAAGTGTGGGTGATAATCCTTAGCTCATGGGGTGGGTTGAGGAGTGAGCTGATGTGGTACATGTGAAACGAGCTGCCGTCCAGGCATGCCTCCATTCAGGTAATCTTTTTTAAGAAAATGATGCTGTGGCACCTGGGGATCAGGATCCCATGAACTGGTTTCAGCGTCTGCACCATCCTGGCCCTTTATACACAGTGTCACTTGCATATGAGCTCCCTTTGGGGATAGAGTCCATGACGTCCTTCCTTCAAATTCTCAAAGGATCTGAGAATTAGGACCCACAGCTCTAGGTCAGGGTTTCTCAGTCTTGGCACTGTTGACGTTTGGGGCCAGATCGTTCTTTGTTATGGGGGCTGTCCTGGGCATTGTAGGATGCACAGCAGCATCCTTGGCTCGACGCACTGGATACCATCAGCATCCCCTCTTCCTCCACAGTTGTGGCAACCAAAAAGGCTCCAGACATTACCAAATGTCCCCTCGGGAGCAAACTTGTTCCTCGTTGAGAATCGCTGCTCTAGAAGTATCTTACCACTTAGTGAGAGAGCAGGTATGTGATGCCCTCATTCATTATATGCACCTCTTTATTATTTATTTTTTTTGCTTAGAGTATTTTCCTTTTTTTTTCAATAGATTCAGGTTAAGTAGGTTCTAGTGTACTTGTGCACACTGAAAGCTGGGACAGGCCTCAAAGTGTAGGAGCTCTTCTAAACCTGTATTGCCTGTGTATACAATTTTTTCTCTTTTAAGTAGATTTGAAATGGCCCATTTACCAAATCCTTTCAAGACTCCTTGGCTGAGATTGTCCCCTGAGAAGTCACTTCCCAGCGGCGTTTGGAGGCAGTGAACCCACTGGTCACACCAGCAGGTCGGGAGCTCCCGATGATCGCAGCTTCTCCGCATCTCGTTCCCATTCCTGACTGCTCCCTGACCTCGCCGCCTGCCCTCCTTTCCTCCTCTTTGATCATGACTCCTGGGCTGCTGGCTCCCGGCATCCCTGGTTCCCCTTTCTGATGTTCCCCAAGGCAGCCTGGTGGCTGGAGGGATTCTTAGTCACCCACCAGCGGACACCCTCTGTAAACCAGCAGTGACTCTGGGAGGCCATTTGTATGGGAAGGCTCTTGCTTTCCCATGCCTGAGAGCCTCTCTAGATGCCTCCCTCTTGAGTGTGGAATATTTATTTGTGAGGCTAACTTCTTCTGTAGAATGGAGGTAAAACGCCCAGCCCCACGGGCCGTGCACCCCAATGCCAGGGCCCTGTGAGGTGTAATAAGTGTCCCAAGGGGAGGAAGGGTTGCTCTGGCCAGTGGGATGGGCAGAATCCCAGCACGTGGTGACATACTGAAGGTTCTGAGATGCTCCTCAGTAAATGCACTTCTTAACCCAGCTTTCCTAAGCACACTTGGTCTTGGAGCGCCTATCTTTGTGGGCACCATGATACCTCCAGGTACTCAGGGACGCACTTGGTGTTATTACAAACCTTGCACAATGTCATCTGAGTCCCGGGGTCTGGTGTCACCGAGGAGATTGTCTCCTCTGCTTCAGTCCTCTTTGTGGACTTACTGTGTCCTTTGGTCATACCTCTTGAGTCTGATTTCCTCTCCCCAGACCTGTAGCTTCTCGAGGTTGCTGGCAGAATACAGAAACCTAAGTAAAGAAGGTGATGGTCGTGCCTACCACTCGTGTCTGCGTGCTACTTGAACTTCTTGCTTCTCTCTCGTGGGTCCTAGGGTTAGTTTGACATTGTCCTCTTCTGCCTCTGCTGTGTCTTCCAGTGCCCAGCAGTGAGTACTTGGCATGGAGTCAGCACCTGTGCCCACCTCCCCTCCTCGCCCGCCCAGCCCCCTTCGGTGCTTCTCTTGCTGATTTGTTCTGTCTTCTAGTTCTAAAGTGATTCTGTGTTGCATTTGGGGATTGGTGTTGGTTGATTAAAATAATTTGTCACCAAATATTCTTGGCACACAATATGGCATTAATTTTACTTTTTTAAAAAATTAATTTTCCATTCCTTAAGTTAGTGCCCCTTCCGGGAATAGTAGGGTATTAGCTCCCATTGCACAGAAGGAGGGGCGAAGGCCACTCCACTGGTGCCCCTTCTGGAGTCCACCTGTGGAGCTGGGGCCTGCTGGGCTTCACGCTCTGCACTTTGAGGGTGGTGAACAACCGTCGGCTTAGACTTCCATCCTAACCCTCTCTTCTCCCTGTTCTCCTTCTCTGTCCTTTCTCCTGCAAGGTTCTGCCACCCTTCACCACTGGCAGCAGTTGGCCCAGCCTCACCTCGGGGGCATCCTGGACCCCCGGCCCGGTGTGGTCACCAAGGGCTTCCGGACACTGGACGTTGACCTGGATGAAGTGTACTGCCTTAACGACTTTGAAGAAGATGACACAGGTGACCACATTTCCCTCCCGGGCCTAGCTACCTCCACGCCAGTTCAGCACCCAGAGACCTCAGGTGAGAGGTCCCGAGCACGTGTGACTGTCTCAGGCAGCAGAAGTTACCCGAGCCGGCCTCAGGCTTGCCCAGAGGAGATGCAGGAGCCGCCACCGGCCGCAGAGGAGGAGGAGGAGGGGTCTGGTGAGGGCACCGCGCTAAGTCCTGTAAACCCGGCACCTTTACCGGAGGCACAGCTCTGGGCCATTCTCACCTCTGTTCCGAGCACCATCCGTAGTGGCTCTCTGTCTGTAGCTTCCGCTCGTCTGTGTGGGTGACGATTAAAGCATTGCCATTGTGCGGTTCTGTTTTTGAACATGGAGTCTGAGCCTCCTTTTTGTAACAGATGGGTGCAGCTCCCTACCCATCTTGGAGGTGCATGGCCCAGCGGGGCTCTCGAAGCGGGAGCAGGAAAGGCTGCTAAAAAGAAGTGGATTATTGCCCCTCCGCCCCACCAGAACACTGGCTCCCCTCTTCCTGTTATGAGTCTCTCCCCGTGTCGAAGGGGCAGATTCTTGAGTCCCCTGGGGATGTCCAAACTGAGCTGAGCTGAGTCGGGCAGTTTTAGGGGAGGTCGTGAGTGCTGCATCGTTCAGAAGGTGAATGGGAGAATCTGTTATATACATGCTGCATTAGAATAAGCCCAGAGAGTGTTAGGATCTCAGGCAACAGTTGATAGATGGGCTTTTTCACTTTCCTCGCTTTAATGAAGCTATGTATGTTTTCTTTCCAGCTTACTCATGTGTTCAAAGTGGATTTTTAAAAAGTATTTTAGCAATACTCCTTAACCAAACAAACCCTAAGAGACTGTCAGTAAGCTCTTCCAGAGACAGGACTTTCCATGAACCTGAAAAAGAGCTCAGGCTGATCTCCCCCCAACAAGCAGTAAAGACATGACCCTGAGTTTGTAGAACTACCCACATCCTAGGCGCCACTTGGATGAAAAGCTTTGTGCTCAGGGCCCTGGGATCATGGGGCCATGTGGTTGCTATTTGCCCTAGGCTTCCTGGACCTCCTGGCTTCCTGTGCTGAGAAGACAAGGAAGCTCTTATGGGATAAGCAGAGCGACCCAGAAAAAAGATGAATTAACCCAATATTGTCGTCCTCATGATGTTCCCTAGGCACCAAGTTTAAGAAGAGAACATTCATCTCTGTGATTCATAATTTTCACTCGTGAAGGCCACAACAGTGCCCATAAAATACAGGGCAACAGAGAGCTGAGGTCTGTGGTGGTGTCTCCCGTCCCCTGGCCAAGTGCAGACGCCTGTGGCCAAGGGCCTTTATTCGGGACCAACTTTTCCTTTTTCTTCGATTGAACTTTAGAAGTATCATTGAGTAAAAAGGATTTGTTCAGCACCTAGGTTTACTTATGGTTTAATTAATTTTTTAAGCAATTGAGTTACCAGATTAAGCTTGCGGGGGAATGAAAATGTTTATTTAGCATCTTCACACTTAAGAAGGGGACGCCAGCTGTGGTATCATTACCTCCTGCTGTTATCAGCACCAGCGCCCATGCGGAAGGCAGACAACGATGCAGGAAGCACAGTGCCTGCTGAGTTTTGTGGCTGGAGGGCTCGGCATCGGGTCAAGTGTGATGACCCTCCCTGCAGTCTTACAGGTGGCGTAGAAGGTGAATCCTGTGAGCTTAAGGAAGCACCATTAGGTGCATCTTTGAGAAGTTGTATAAAGCCTATCAAGTCAGCTAAGAACTTCTCTCGAGGACAGAGGGAGAGGGGATCAATCATGAGGACTTCAGTCCGGACCACTTTCCTCACCATAAATAAACACGTATTTATTGCTTCTTCCCTCCGTACTCAAACCTGCAGCACATTTCTCCCAGCAACTTGATTTGAGGAGAGGCACACAAATTTGCAGTTGGAAACTGTAGAGGGGTCAGGTTGGAACTGTGCGATCAAAAAGATTTCTATAGATTGCTGAGGGTGATTTAGGAAAGGTCTGATCATTTAGACGAGAGTTCTCTTGAGCTCATTTTCTGGGTAAGACTTGTTAAAAGTTTAATGCAGAGGGGAAAGGCACGAACAACGATTTGGCTCTTTTTTCTCTATTGGAATGACAGGACCATTTCGATTCTTAGAATGTAGGAAGCATGTTGCTCTAAAGAAATCATCCCAGAGACCCCCAGAGGCACCATGTACACAGTCTTGGAGTCACAGGCAGTCAGATAAGCTTCAGCAGGAAGGCCTAGGGCAGCCTCTGTCTTGGGAGTTGTATCCGGGCTGGTCTGGTCCCTGCCTTGGTCCACCCTGGATGCTTGGGCTTTTCTCTTGCCAAACAGCATAATCCCAGCTGCCATCTGCCTATGAAGACTTGATAGGGACAAACTTTGAAGACAGAGGGTGATTCACTTTTTTTCTTGCAAGTTGTATGATGGGAGGAAATTGGGAAGACTTGTATATTAGGCACTTTTGTCTAGACCCTGCTGTCTCATAGAGAAAAAGTTTTGATTACTGAAAAACATTTATTAATATATTTTAATGTATTATTGTATCATCATTTGCTGATTTTTATAATCCCGTGTCTTAAAAAGGATGATTCCATGTTATTTTATTGTAAATAATTTAGATGATTAAAATGGATTGTTTAAAACAATTTTTAGATTATACTTTTACTTTATTTCAGTGACGTATTTTATGTTTTTGTTCATATAGAAAGCACACTTGATCATAAATCGTCATTATCTCGTACTGTCAGTGTTCTGAATTTTAGGTATTTGTGTATAGGGAAGAGCCTGCATGTGGTAAGGGGTTAAGATCAGTGTTTTAAGTCACACAGTTAAGTCAGTAGGTGGTTGGTAGGCTGGACAGTTCAATTGAATTATGTTGGACACCTTGATCCCTAAAGGGAGAAAGAGGTGATATTCAAGCAGCACGGAGAGAAGGAAGTGAAGGTCAATTTTAATCCTCAAACACATGGAGACCATTGCAGGTGGGGGAAGTATCCTAGGACAGGCTCAGGCTGCCATGATTTGTATATCTGGCCATGGCCCTGCCATGGAGCTGTGTCTTCTTTGGGGCTGAGATCCTCAAGTAAGTGTTGAGGCAAAAATCCCGTTTGATCCCTTGAAATTCCCCTGAAGCTGCAGCTCCTGCGCCCCCACAGGCAAAAGCCAAGAATTAGCTTTTTTGGTAGCTTCTTTATTTGATACATAGGTCCAGGTTCTGTTCAGGAGTGGTGACTGAGCAAGGGAAGCGAGGGGAACAGCTCCGGGAGGAAAGGAGCCAGACAGAAAGTTTCAGGAGGCGAGGATTAGTCCAGCTTTGGCTCAGGGCTTTGAGCAAGGCCACACCAGCCCACATCCTGTCACACTTTCTGTCCCCCACAGAAGCAGGACCCAGTGGCTTGTGCAGGGATGTTGGCCGTTGGGGCCTGATGGATCTGGAAGGAGAGGTCTGCTACATTCGATTCACAGACCCTCAGGTGCAGGAAAGTTCCTTCTTATCTCCACGGAATGTTGACGATGAGTTCCCACTCTGATGGGAGACTTTTCAATCCAGGCCTAGATCTGTAGCAGTTACAGGAGTTGGTCCTATGGACAGAGCATGCTCACACCCACCTGTAGTATGAGATGCTAACGAAGCCCTTGTGCTCTTGTATTAGAATGTATATTAAACCAGAGCAAAAGATGCCAACTACAGCCCAGAAGTGGAAAAATGAATGAAGGATGAGATAATTGGCTCCTCCCAAAAAAGAGTAGCGTCAATCCTGCTTAAAATTTCCAGAACAGAGCGCACTTGTGAGAGCACTTTCCTTAAGGCAACCTCACCTCTGAAAACCATAGGAGGTCCCATCCCTGTTCCTAGGGGCACCCATGTGGACTCCTGAGGAGTGGGTGTCTGCTCATGCCGCTGATCTCGCCTGGAGGGTCCCTTGAGGGCCCGCAGGGTGAGTGCTGAGGTTTGGATGAAGTGTCCAGCTGTACCGCCTAGTTACACACGAGAGAAGTGCCCTCTTGAACTGGCTTCAAAAGGACTAGTAGGGAGAGGTGCTGATGAAACTTAGCCAGGCTGGCTCCTGGCGCCTGGCAGTGTCTGCCACAGAAGGAAGGAGAGGAGGACAGAGGCCTTGGGATCCAGCCTTATTGGCATCCGAAGGATCCAAAGAGACTGTTGCATTTGCCCTTTGACATTTTAAGTGTTCTAAAAAATCCCCCTTTCTCCAAAGGATTCCCCCTGGAGACACTTGGTGGAATTTCTGGCCCTCTCTGCACAAGGCTGTGAGATTGTTCATCTGTTAAATCATGTTCTTTTTAGATGAAGCACAGAGTAGAGAGCTTGGTGTAGTGGGAAGAATAGAGTTTTTAATTTTGCAGGAACCAAAATATGTTGTACAGAAACCAGAAGAAGATCTTGTGATGTGGGTCAAAATCTCTGCTGGAAACCTCTCCAGTGCCTGCGGCCGACGTCTGCCCTGGAGTTCAGGGTCCCCATAGAGCTGCAGGACCAGACGAGGGTTGTTGAACGAACGCTTAAGAAGCAGAGAAAAAGAGTTACCAGGCCCACGTTAAGCCTGGAACTGAGGACTTTTAAAATGTCATCTTGTAACACTGTGTAGTTTAGAATAACTTTTATCATATTTTTTTTACAAAAAGAAGAAGCTGCACTACTGTATCTGAAACTGCTCTTGACTCCCCACGCCCCCAGAGAAAAACGCGTGTAAAACACATTAGTCCCAAACAGTATTGATATTAATGAGGAAGCTCAGGGCAAACAAAGCTTTCCTAGAGGTTTCTTTTCCCACGTGGACTCATCATAGAACTTTTTTTTTTTCAGAAAAATCCATGGACAGAGTTATCTAAAGAAGTGACCAAAAAAAGTCTTTAAAGCATTTTTCTATACCCTGATATTTTCATCTTTTAGGAAGAATTCTGAAGCATTGCTTTTGCCACCTTTTGCTTTTTTTTTAGGGCCATGTAGCTGACAGGCAAAGACATGCCCTCTTCCCCCTTCCTCCGCCCCCCCCAATGTGATTACTCCCTGAGCAAAAGGCAACAAAGTCATTAGAAGCTGATAAAAAGGTAAAAAAAGAATAAATGTTCTCAGGCCTTAGTTCAAGCGACGTATTTAAGCTGGGTGGACAATGGCTTTTATTTTTAGTAGGTTTTTTTTTTCGCTTGGATAGAAAAGGCTGACCCGTGGGTGTCACTGTTGATGTGGTGGCAGCTACTGGAATTAAAGTGGGAGTGTGTGTGTGTTGGTTAATGAGTTTGCAGAAGTTGCAAAGCAGATCCAAGTCGTGTGACAGCAGCTTCACACTCCATGTTCAGGTTAAGGAAAGGAACAAAGGTCAGGGGCATTTTGTTTATTTTTCACAATTTGACCACTTCCCTCGAAGAGTAGGGAAAAGAATGTGGGCTCTTGATGCATTGCAAAGAGTCCCTTTTTCCAAGATTTTGGGATGCATTTGTAATTTTTTAATATATATTTTAAGAAATTACTTACATGAGCAAAAACAATAGCTTGAGGAGCCCGGCCTGGTGGCATAGTGGTTAGGTTCAGGTGTTCCACTTCAGCGGCACAGAGTTCACTGGCTTGGATCCCAGGTGCACACCTACACACCGCTCATCAAGCCATGCTGTGGCAGCATCCTACGTACAAATCAGAGGAAGATTGGCAACAGATGTTAGCTCAGGGCCAATCTTCCTCACCTTAAAAAAAAAAAAAAAAAAAAGCTTGGGTGTGTGGCATGGCCAGCATTTCTCTGTCCTCAGAGATCCCCTGTGAAGCAGCCTTTACATGTGTACATTGCAACTCCCCATAGAAGTCAGCAGGTGCAGCTGCACTCTGACCTCTGTGGCTCACGTGAGGGTTCTTTAAGGACTGGGTGCTATGATGCCTTTAGAGAGAAAAGTTTCTGCTCTCCCAGAACATTTCCAAGGATTAATCAATTTAAAGTTTGTCTTTGATAGATTAGGATTTCGTATGAGTGTCAGAGGGAGGAGGAACAAATATAAATAATAAAGGATTAGGACTTTGTTGTTTTTATTTTTGGAAATGCAAGTTCATCCCTAAGTAAAATACTCGAGGAAAGCATTGGCCAGTGTTAATCCTCGAACCTGTTTCCTCTCTGCTCACAACACTCTAGGGTCTCCAGTCAGACTGAGAAAAAGAATAAGGATTTAGGTAGGAAGTTGGAGCATTAAATCCGGGAAACCCTGTCCTTGGAGGCCCCAAGTGAGCAGCGAGAGTGAACACACGGCACCGAAGGCAGGGCATTGGCGTGTGGTGGGGGCTGGGAACTTCAGTGGTGAGCCCTCACCGCGAGCCCCTACTCCTGCCAAGAAGAATGTGTTTTGTGCCTCTTTCTTTGAGAAACTGCTCTCCTGCACGCGGGACTCTAGGAATGAGCCCGTGGCTGCCCTGTGGCGACTCACTGCCTCTGTGTTGTGTCCCAAGGAGGGCAGGTGCTGCAGCGGCCTGGCAGGCGGTGATGGCGCACAGAGAGCTGGTGGGTTCAGGCATCCCAGTGGTATTTTGGAGGGGCCAAACCTCTGGCTTTGGCACTTTTGACACTTGTTGATCTTCCTTGGTCTTCTAAATCTATCCATTGCTTCTGGGGAATGATGACTTCTGAATTTTAGCAGCCTTTTCCTGTCCCCAAAACCCATTTGCATAAGATGGGTTTTGCTTCTGCTGATGCAACTGTGTCTCTCCAATGTCTGTCTTACACTACCTGTTACAATCGAAGATCCAATATGGAATGGGGTGGAGGAGGAAGTGAACATTTGTGACCTTTTGATTTGAGATTCTGGCCATGTGTTTAAATGGGGTACGCTTCTCATGTTAAATGCAGTCTTGCTTTTGTTTGATTTTTTAAAGTGTCTCTCTTTCAACGGTTTTGTCTTCATTCTATTTCCTGCATTCTTCTTTCCTCACGCCTGTCCTCTGGGATGTTCTTTCTCAGGCGTTCTGTTGCTTTTGTTTCTAGACTTGATTGCAGTCAGAGAATCGTGATTGTTTGGTTGCCTTTTCTTCATAGCTTATCCTTTTTTTGTTTCGCTTGCAGCGATTTCTCAGTTATCTGAGTTCCTAAACCATTACATTGATTGGTCGAGAAAAAAAGATTCAGAAAGGCTATTTTTATGTGTGTGTCCCCCACCCCCTCGCCCCACTTCGCCTCGAGCTCCCGTGGCTGAGAGCTCACTCTTGTGGACGTGGTACCGGCTGCCACACCAGTGGTCACGGGGGCTTCCTTGACACCGAGAGGTGGATCAAACCATCCTAATGGGGAAAACCAGGCTTGTGTTGCTCCTCTGGTCACCACCACCATTTTTGTGCGCTGGCTTTGTCCTGCCTGCCTTCAGTTTGCGTGTCTCCAACATTTTTTTGTTACATCTGGTCCCTGGGTTGTTTTTTTTTAAAGACACAATCACCTGTGTGTGGATCTGTAGGTTTGGGGCACCCATCTCTTCTGTTTTGTTTTCCTTTTCCTTTTTGTCAAATCCAAGAGAAAACTTGCCATAAAGAGCTAGAAAATTCTAGTTCACAGCCTTTTGAATCTTCAGAGTGCTCATGGCCTCTGATATCCTGATCAGTTTTCTCCCAGGAGGTCTCTGGGGGCTGAGCTGCTGCAGGGGCGGCGGGGGGTGGGGTGGGGGCATTATCCTAATACTTCATCATGCATGCTATTTGGAGCAGCATCCTTTTTTTTCTTTTTTTTTTTTTACCTTTGAGTTATGAATGAGGATGACCTCTACAATCATGATGTCTCCCGTAGATTCTGTTATTATCATTCACCAGCTTTCCGATGCATGGTTCTTCCGCTCCTCTGATTTACTTTGCTCCAGAACAATCTTCAGCCACCTTAACAACAACACTTTAGAGCTTTAAAAGGAAATCAGTCGAGGACTACTTATTGCTGTCTCATTTGCATTAGAAATCAGACATCCTAGAGATGGCAAGAAAGCGGCCCAGGGACTGGTTCTGCTCGCAGTGCTGTGTGTCAGACCAGACCTGATCCGGGAGCTTCAGAACTGCAGAGAACCCTGGGCTCTGGGACTCTTGCCACGTTGTTGCTGAGGCAGCTGAGGTCTCTCCCACCTCGCCGGTCACAGATAGGCAGTAGTGGAGCCAGCTTCCCCAAGCCCCTTTCTGTGTGAACAGAGAAGGGAGCGCCTGAGCCTTGCCCTGTTTCCAGGTGGCAAGCGCCTTCCCTGCCCTGTGCCTCTCCCTGCGCTCTTCCCTCCCTTCGGCAGAGTTTGGCACCTGTTTGTCAATGAAAAGAAACATAAAGCAACAAAAGAAGGAAGCCCATCTCTGAGGAGGGAAACCAAATTTACCCCCAAGGGCCCATTAGCCCTCAAACTGGATCCACTACTGGCCAAAGAACGCTGATGGGGAGCCCTGTCTGGATTGGGCTGGAAGCTGGAATTCGATGCTCTGCACACCAGTGCTCCAAAGTGTGGTGGTTTTTGAGGGACCACCTTCGATCCAGAACATTTGCGTTTCACCTTCCTCGCCCAGATCCGGTTGACAAGGTAGCTCATCGCTTCTTGCATCTGTTGAGGGCCCTGCTGGGTTTTCACTTCTCTCATGGGTTTACTTGGATGCAAGGAATATGTTTTGTTCCCCTCAATTTAGCACACCACCCTGGGAAGTGCATGTCACAGACCAACTCCACCTTCACCTTCACCACCTGTCGCATCCTACATCCTTCAGACGAGCTCACGCGGGTCACGCCAAGGTAAGGGACCCCGGCCCCAGTGTGGGCAGGGGTGGGGTGATGTTGGGGCAGTCCCTGCAAGACTTTCTGTTGAGAAAGCCAAAGTGGAGAGGCTTGTGCAAAACCAACTGCAGCCACCTGAAGCATCTCATAAGCCCTTGTCGTCAGCGTTTCTGGGTCCCATCTTTCCCTTGAATCAAGGCCCCTGTTGATTCAGATCCAGCGCAGACAGAGAGACCTGGACTCACCTTGAGTTACCCTGTGCATTGGCTGTGGATGATTCTTAGGCCCCTCCTTAACTAACAGAAGCTGACACTACCACAGGCCCTAAGGCCAAGTCTGTGGGCTATTTGCCCTAAAGTTTGCTAGTAGAACGCGGAGTTCCTTCACCGAATGGAGTTACTGAGCCCTGGTGCCTCGGGAATAGACCGCAGGAACTGTGAGCCTCAGCCACACTGTAATGCCTGAAGTGATAAAACCTGAAGGCCGAATCACATGCCCACTGTGGTCCTTTCCCTCTGGTGCCTCCAAGAAGTGACAGAGTTTGGCACCATCTGGTGAGAGGACTTCTATGGCATGGGGTGGTCTGCTTGGCTTGATTTCAGGGCTCTCACAGCTTCCAGTAAAAGGGAAATGGTCTCCACTGACGTGGTAGAGTGACCCCCTCAGCCATTTTCTCTGTGGTGCCAGATGCCAGGGTAAATGGAAGGTAAAGCAGGAAGGGAGGGAGGTGAGCAGGGCCAGCTCGGAGGGTGCGGCCGCCCCAAGGAGCGCCTTAAACTCTGAATAACTCTCCGCAGGTCATGTGAGGAGGACGACGAAGCAGCCCTATGCCCCGTTGAGCTGAGAGGAGATGTAGGGCAGAGAGTGAGCCCACAGGCGAGGCAGGGGGTGAGCACACGGCCAGCAGTGCCTGCCCTGGCAGGGCCATGTGGAAGGAGCTGTGTGTGCGCGCGTGGCCGCCACTAATCCGGGACTCAGGCATGGATGTGTCTCTGTGGTTGTGCCTGGCTAACACGGCCTTGACAATGAATACCCCTAACCCGTCTAAACACCCCAGTCAAGCCGAGTGCCAGCACTAATAGAGGCCTAACCGAACTTCTCACCGGAAGGGGATCTCTAAATTTTAGCTTGTCTTCTCAGTCTCCCTTCCTGTCTTTGGAGAACCCGGCTTCCCCATCCCATGGCTCTATGTTTGGAAGAGAGTATGTTTAAAACCGTGGGACAGAGCTTCTTCCAGGAAGAGGCTGGCGTCCTGGTGCTCTTCTGACTGTAGCCATAGGACTTGAAACTACATACCTGTCTTCATCTTTAGGGGCTTCTCAGGGACAGAAAAGGCTTGGGTAGTCAATAGCAAGAGAAGGCTTTTTTGCCTGAGTTTGAAAGAATGACAGCTTGAAACAAAATCGAAAATCTCGCTAAAAATGGCCCTATAAACAAGATTTTAAGTCCAGGACATTTTTGCCTTCTATTGCTTGTAGATCAATGTTTTGTAGAATTCCTCCTGGGCCTTTTGAAGACTCCACCTTTTAACCTTAGGAATCTGCTGTGGTTTCTAATCTCATGTTTCTCTGGGTGCTCCCAACCCACCGGCATCCTCACTCCTGAGCTTGTGTGAGATGGGCCTGTTCTGTGTTCCTCACCCTGGGCTGACCAGCCCGTGGCGAGGTCACCTGAGTGTGGAGCCAGATGATGCCTCAGCTTGTATTTGCTTTTGGACTGTCCCTCCCGCAGCGAGGGACCTCTTTTCGAGTCATTCCAAGGACCTGCTCCAGATCAGGGCCCCTGCCCATTCCCCAAGTTGGCACTTTGTACAAGGTAGCTGCCCCTCCCCCTGCCAGGCTGGGGAGAGGGCCCTGTCCCCTAGCTCCTGGGGACCTCCAGCTGGCCTGCTCCCAGGGGCACCTGCAGCCCCAGCCCTGTCTTTGGGCAGCACCAGGAAGTGGGGGCGGGGCGAGGTGGGGGTGGGGAGCAGCAGGTCTCATGGGACTGTTAGGAGGGAGGTGCTGCTCTGCCCCCTGGTGGCTCATCCAGCAACAGCAGGGCTTCCGTGCCTGTCTGGCCTCACCCCATCCCCATAGCAGCTGTTAAAAGAGAGACTTTCCCGTTTTTTTTAAGCAGACAGCAATGCCTTTCCCCCTGCTGCCCCTCTTGTATGCTTTTCTGTCCGAACTCCTTTTGCTGCTGGTTCCAGCTTCTGGAACACAGTGGGTCCTCTGTCAGCATGACACGAAGAGGCATGCTTTCCTATAGTAACACAGGATTCACACACCCAGTGGGCCTTTCTCTAGGTAGCTCCCCAGATGTAGATCTGCTAATACATGACGTGGCTTCCTCTGACCCCATAACTCCACTCATCCAAATGGATCTGGACAACCATGGGAAGAGGACTGAGGGACAGCACGGTGCAGAGGAAAGAGCACTGTACTGGGAGTCAGGAGGCCAGCATCCTCTTCTGACGTGAGGTGCACCTTCAGCCTCAGTCTCCCCGTCATCCATGGGTCCTTAACCTGGGCTTGTCCCACCTGCTTTGGCTGTTCCTAGGGTACCTCTCATCTCCTATAGTCCTGGTTTACTTCTTGCCTCAGGGAAGTAGGTATTAGGAAGGAATGCAGGAATTTGAGTAAATCTGGTAGAGAAAGAAAGCCTTCTGCCAAGGGGCTTCCTCCTCTATCCTCTGACAGTGACCCTCCGGGCCACTCAGACTTGGGCTCGAACCCAGGGTCTTCCGCTTACTGGCTGGGTGTGACATCAAGTAAGCCGCCTAACCTCTGAGCCTGGGTTTCCTACCTGCAAAGGGAAGGGTTATACCTAGGGCTGAGCAAAGGGAATCATGTGCAGCTTCCTGTTAACCTAAACTGTGCCCCCACTTTAGAAAACCCAAGTCCCCCATCAGGGAGAGGGAGGAGCAGGCATGGAAAGAGGCATCTGGGGCCCCTGGGCTGGGGGAGTGCTCTCGACGTGTCCCAGGCCTCCTGCACCCCTGCAGGAGACTGGCCACTGACCCTTTTTATGGTGCTTGTGGGCATTTTCTGATGAATGACCTGTGGTCTTTTCCTGTCAGCCTTAACTCGGCCCCGACTCCAGCTTGTGGCAGCGCCAGCCACTTGAAGTCGACACCGGTGGCCACGCCGTGCACTCCACGGAGACTGAGCCTGGCCGAGTCCTTCACTAACATTCGTGAGTCCACGACCACCATGAGCACATCCCTGGGGCTGGTGTGGCTGCTGAAGGAGCGGGGCATTTCCGCAGCTGTGTATGACCCACAGAGCTGGGACAGGGCCGGCCGGGGTTCCCTCCTACACTCGTACACTCCCAGGATGACTGTGATCCCCTCCACCCCGCCCAACTCGCCTATGCAGACGCCCATGTCTTCCCCGCCCTCCTTCGAGTTCAAGTGCACGAGCCCTCCGTACGACAACTTCCTGGCTTCCAAGCCGGCCAGCTCCATCCTGAGGGAGGTGAGGGAGAAGAAGAATGTCCGGAGCAGTGAGAGCCAGACAGATGTGTCTGTCTCCAACCTCAACCTCGTGGACAAAGTCAGGAGGTTTGGTGTGGCCAAAGTGGTGAACTCAGGGCGAGCCCACGTCCCCACCTTGACTGAGGAGCAGGGACCTCTCCTCTGTGGGCCCCCAGGCCCAGCCCAAGCCCTCGTCCCTGGGGGCCTGGTCCCCGAGGGCCTGCCTCTCGGATGCCCCACGGTCACCAGTGCCATCGGCGGGCTGCAGCTCAACAGTGGCATCCGACGGAATCGCAGCTTCCCCACCATGGTGGGGTCCAGCATGCAGATGAAAGCCCCTGTGACTCTCACCTCAGGCATCTTGATGGGTGCTAAGCTCCCCAAACAAACTAGCTTACGGTGAGGATGGGAGGGGGGCCCTTCCCCTAGAGGAGACCAATCTTGCTCCTGTCCCCCCATCCTCCCCCCTGCACTGCGTGCTCTCCCTCTTCCCCCCTCTGTCCATACCTTCCTGAGCTAGACAAATCAACCTGGTGCCTAGTGGGGGAAGAGTGGAGACTTTGTAAAATGTGTACATAGGACTTGGAGACCTTGTATCCACCCTGCCCTTTCTTCGGCTCCCACAGGCAGCGTCCCCACACTGTCACTGCTCTCGTGAGGACTTCACCTGTGCCAGCCTGGGGGCAGGGGCAGACGGGTGTCCTTTTCTCCTTCTTTCCTTTGAGAAGCACTGAAACTCCCAAGTGTGTTCTTATCCCATGGATACGGAACCCGTGAATTTGTGGCTGGCTGCCCGTGCTGTACGTTGTGAGCTGTCACACAGCACGGAGCACAATGCCTCTGCCGCCCGGTGTCATTGGGCACGTCGCCTTGCCCGTCCTGTAAGAGCGCAAGGAGCCTCTGGCCACAGCCACATGCAGCTGACATAGCTTTCAGGATCGGAGAGCGGTTCTTTCTTCTATGGCCCAACTCTTTCAAGACTTTCACTACTCTGCCTCAATGGATGGTCGCTTCAAACTAGCATGACTTTTTCTTCTCATGCCTTCAACCTGAAGTCATCCTTCAATGTTTTGTAATCAGCTGTCAGGCCCGACGTCTGACCCGAAAGAGAATGTATTTACACTCCGCTGCGCCATGCAGCAGCCCCTGTGTGTTCTGTGTGATTTGTGTTGTTTTTCCATTTTTTGTATGCAGGGAAGTGACGGTACTAGACGGGAGGTCACGGTATATGTTCTCTCTGTGGTTCTATGACACCGAAATACAAGTTTCAAACACACTAAGCCACGAATGAGATAGCAGCTTATTTCTGAGACCTAGTGTTGCAACCAAATTGAGGAGGACCAGACCCAAGCCAACTTTAACAAGAGGAGTAAAAGGAAAGGAGATGGGGAAAAGGTGGTGAATGAAATTTGTCAACCGGAAAACTAAAAAGAACCACAACCAAACGTACTAACAGTTTACGTAATACCAGTTCATGGGAGAAATGAGGCTTTGGCATCCTGCTGGTTCCAGTCCTTCCTCTGAAGCCCGAGACTGGTCCACGTGCTTTCACTCCTGTGGTCTTTTCTTACAGCCATTCGATGCCCGCATGTTTTGCCCTCTTGTTTCAGAACAGAGTGGTCCCAAGAAGATATGTTCTCCCCTCCCAAAGCCCTTTGTCTCCTTGTGCCAACTTTTTATCCTTAGGAAAAGCTAGAGGTGCTCGTGAGAATCATGGACGAGCAAGGGAGCCGGGTCCTGTTGCTGTTTTGCTGACTGAGTTTTGAACTTTTATTTATTATTTGTGTGTGCTGTATTTTAAACAAACATCCTCTCTCCTTTCTAGTTCCGGTCATAGTGTGTCTGTGGCATTCCAATCCAAGCAGGTAATTTATTTATTCTAATCTAAGGACTGCACTGTGTGTCATGGTGTTCTGTGGCCATTTGTTCCAGACATTTATGGAAGGATAGCATCATATGCAAATGAAATTGTCATTCTGCATCCCACCTCCCCCCAACCCTTGGCAAAAGATGTGACCTTCAGTTGAGTGAGTGTAATTTCACGTGCACCGAAGATACGTTGAGGTATTCCAGGAGCAAGCTTGAGTCCCGTAATTCCAAACTATTTATTCTCTGAGCACGAGAGTGTTGGTTAATTATGTTTTCAACTCTCCTTGCTGTTGTATGTGTGCCCTCACTGCAAGGAACTTATATCTTTTTATTTGAATGTATTTTAAAGCAGTAGATAGAATAACAAAGGAATATGAAAACCATGGACTGAATGGACCACTTTATACATTCAGAGAGAGGAGCCACCCACCATCACAAAGGAAATACCAATGTACAAAATGACAATTCGGACGTCACAGTATTTAGCATAGTAAATAAATACATGATCAACATTGTGCAACCACTACCAACAAGTGGGTTGTAATGCATCAAACATCAGTAAAATTTTATTCGCTAACGAATATCAATAAAATAAGTTCAAATGATGGAAACCACACTGGTATTCTGATTTGTATTTTATTTTTATCTTTTCCTCCAGGAGATAGTCTCTTTATGTAAGATTGGAAGGTGTTCAGCTTTGGGGAGAAATTAAATGAAAGGCCTATACTTTATATACTGTTACATCCCTCCTTTCTTTTAACATACAACTATACCTCAAATAACTTTCCAATCAGAACCTGAAGATCTTCCTCACTTTTCAGGGCTGTGTACTATTCTACCATGTGCACACGCCCACTGTGAAGACATACATGCACTTGTGGACTAGTCCCCTACAGCTGGGCACTGAGGTAATTCTACCCTTTTGCTATATTACACTGCATATATGTAATTTTCCACATATGTGAGCACATCTGTGACATAAATTCCTAGATAGATGTTGCCAAATTACCCCCCTAGAGTTGTATTAAGAGACTTTTAAAAACCAAGAACAGTAGAGGGTCACCAGTTGGAGAATTGTGAGAAGAAAAGGATAAAATAAAACATATTCTACCATGTCAAAATTTGCCAGCAGTGAAATTATGCGAGGGAGCACAGTAGGGGTTGGTGGCAGCATGGGTTTTAAATCAGTGCTACTATTCGGTAGTGGTATGACCTTGGGCAAGTCACTTATCCTGTTTGGATCATCCATTTTTTTAACCTGTAAAGTGAGAATTGTAATACCCGTTAGGGTCAATTAGTTGAGTCACTATATTTTGACTATCTACCACGTGCCAGTCCTTGCTGTAGGTAGTGGGGATCCGATGATAAACAAGTGAGCAACTTCTGCTTTTAAGGAGAGTTTGCAGAATCTGTTAATTGGAGAAGGATGACCCCAAACATGGCGTAGTAAGGGCTATGCAGAGAATTTAAATAGGGTGGTGTGAGGGACTCGGTGGCTACTTTGGGCAGTCAGGGAAGGTCTCTCGAGGGAGGTAGAATTTGAGTCGACCATGTGAGATCTGGCACAAGAACATTGGGGCAGAGAGGGCAACTGGCGCAAAGGCACAGAGGCAGGAAAGAATTTAGTGTGTTTGAGGAGCAGAGAGAAGGCCCGTATGGCTGTGTGCTGGTAGAGAAGGGGAGCGTGGCAGTGCAGAGAAAGCACAGTGCTCACCAAACGGTCCATCTGATCTCCACGTTTCCCTGTCACTTTGCAGTGGGCAAGGCACGTGATTAATTCTGGCCAGTGGGCTGTGAGCAGAGAAAAATCCATGCGTAATTCTCCATGCTCCTCCTTACCCTGAAGCCTTGTGTTGAAATGGTGGTGTCACAGGTTGGCGGAGCCTCCATCATCCAGGGTCTCTGGGGAACCATATGGATCAGACTCCCTGCCAGCCCTCATTTGACTTATGATCTGAAGCAGAAACAAACATTTGCTGTTGAGTCAGTGAGATTCTTGGGTGGTGCATCAGAGGCTCTGCAGGGCCCGAGTGTGTGTGTTTTACCAAGCCCTCCAGGTGACTCGGGGGCTCACTAAGGTTTACAAACCCCTGTGCTAGGCCAGGCAGAGATGGGATGGGCGTTCTGCCACTGGAGAGGTGGGGTTCCCTCGCAGTCTCCATGTCTCAGGGGCTTGAGAAGGCCAGACAGCTGCAGCCCCCCTTGCTTGAAGGGGAGAGGGTGGGCAGGTTTACTTGCCCAGCTGGGGCAGGAAAGGCTTGGAGACAAGGGGACCCCGGATCTGGGCTTCAAGGATGGGCAGGATTTGCCAAGTGCAGAAGGCATTCCAAGCAGAGGGTCAAGGTGTAGAGGAAGGATGGGAGAGAGCTTCTAGAAGGCGTTCTTCCAAGATCTTCCTTACAGTGGTAAATGGTAAATATACAAGGGACAATAGAGCTAGAAATAACACCATTTTGCAACCACAAAACTAAATTTTAGACAAAAATGGATGATAAAACCAAGGGGTAAGAATTTCTTAGGTAGCAGGATATTTACACACAGTGTTTCCTACAGAATGTTTATTAATTTTTAAAGGGGGGAAAGGGTACCTTTGCAGTGGAGAAATCTGTCAGGCACCATTTTAAACAAATCACCAAGTTGAACGTTACCCAAATGGAACAAACTGATATGAGGTGTCTCCAATGTGTGACGTGCTGGGAAGGACACATCGCTTCTGTGCTGTTCCTGCTAAAGCTGCAAAACCCGGAATTGGGAGGTTGACAATTGACAAACTCAAATTGAAGGACATTTTATAAAATACTGTACCTGTTCCTTTTAAAAATGTCAGTATCGTGAAAGACTGAAGAACTGTTCCAGAATGAAGGAGGATAAAGAGACAAGACAATGAATGCAACTCATAATCCTGAATTGGAAAAGATACTATAAAAAACAGTATTGGCACAATCAGAGAAATTTGAATATTGAGCATAGAGTTAAAAATACTGTACCAGTATTAAATTTCTTGAGTTCAGTCGTTGTACTGTGGCTATGTAAAAGCAAGTCCTATTTTTTAGGAAATACTAGCTAAAGGATTAAGATAAAGGGGCTTGATGTCTGTCTGCAAGTCACCTTCACATGTTTCTGGAAAAAGCAAATGAGAATTTTTTTAAAAAGGAAGATGCTTGGGGCTGGCCCAATGGTGCAGTGGTTAAGTTTGCATGTTCTGCTTTGGTGGCCTGGGGTTCACCAGTTCGGATCCTGAGTGCGGACCTACACACCACTTGTCAAGCCATGCTGTGACAGGCATCCCACATAGAAAGTAAAGGAAGATGGTCACAATGTTAGCTCAGGGCCAGTCTTCCTCAGCAACAAAAAAAAAAAAAAAAGGATTGGCGGCAGATGTTAGCTCAGGGCTAATCTTCCTCAAAAAACAACAAAAAAAGTAAGATGCTAGAAAGGAACCCTCAAAAAGTGGGAAGCACCCTAATACTATGTGTTTAGTAAACTATAAAAATAAAGGCATTCTTCTGTCTTATGGCTGTGGCAAGAAGATGCTTGAGGTGGTATGTTTTTTCCCCCTCTTCTAGGCTGAATTTCTTCTAGTATATCTGAGCCCTTCCCCCAGCCCAGGGAGCTCGACCAGAGGGCACCATGGCCCAAGAGAAAGTTGCCAAAGAGGCAATTGATGGCACCAGGAAACAAAGATGTCAAATTGTTGACTTTTAATTATGAGGAAAGAAAAGCTGAATGCTATGTTTTGGCATAAGACCAGAAGATTTGGAAACAAAACCTACCGAGCCAGTTTTTCTTTTTACTGCCTACTTCCCCCTCTGCTACTCCCAGGGCCCAAACAGATTCTCCCAGCTGGCGAAGGAAGGAGGGAGTGCGAGAGGATTCCGGCCCACAACAGGTGCAGGAGGCTTCCTTTTCCCTGTCCCCTGGCCAAGCTCAGGGATTTGGAAGAAGCCCCAGCTGAGTCTGGGGACCCAAGCACAGATGAGCTAGTTTCACATGGGGGCCCGAGAAGATGGAAATGTTCCAGAACCCCGCCCCAGCTCCTGACTCCCATCACAGGGCAGTGACTGCACGGGATTGGGAGAGTAGAAATGGCATCAAGTGGGTCTCAGCGGAGAGATTTCCAGGGGATCCCGTAGTACCTGGCCCCAGACAGATGTGGGACTCCCTTCCAGACATTGCCTGGTAGCAGAGAGGCAGGTATGCCCTAAGGAGCCTCTCCAAAAGGACAGAGAAAGTGGACGCATGCCTCCCCATGGCTCGAAGGAGTGCTGGCACCCACAACTTAGACACCACCTGGGGAGAAGCTGGTGGAGGTGGAAAGTTATCTGAATTATCTGAATTGGTTGGGGGCTCATAATAGGGATTAATTCAAGATTAGAAAAAAGTTAAATTAGCTCTTTTACGCATGGGGGCTCCTGGCTGGAAACATCAACTCTCGGGAGGATTTATTTTCTGTAGCCAGTAGAGGGCACCTCCACACCGCAGAAGCCCTGAAGGAACCGGCCTTGATGATTTGTTCCTAAAATCAGGTGGGTTCACCCCTATTGCTCACCTGCTCAGCCTATGTAGCAATGTCAGCTGCTGGGAAAGCATCTAACCACTCACTCCCCATTTCTCTTATTGTTTCATTGTGGACCCTTCACGGACTGGCATCAGCCCACAGACCACTCTTCGAGTAATGTTGGTGTGGAAGACTCTATGGTGAAAGGCACCTTTTTGTTAAAAGTAATAAATCTCTCATTGTTAAATGAGGACGTTGTTTAAAAATAATTGGAATTGTTATTTTTGCTTTTAGCAAACCACCCTCATGGCACAGAGGGGTTGGGGGAAGGCAAACACCAAGACTGGGCTGTACCTTTGGAGAGCCGTCTAGAAGTGGGGAGAGGGTGATGCCTTGGACTGGGCCCCAGGGGCTCCTCTCTTTCTCAGAACAGTGCTCTCTCCACTGTTTCCCACTGGACCACCAGTTCCATGGCGAACAGACTCCCTCACATCCTTGACCTTCATCATCAACAACGCTCCACATCATGCCGCCCAACCAAGCCTAGCTGGTCCCTAAGAACCACCTCCCTGACAGCCTCTCAGAGGAGATTCTCATTCCCCACTTCCTCTGTTCCTGAGGGTCCTGGTCCTCTTCTCTCTCTATTGCTGTCTTTGGATTGTTCTTCCATTATCCTCTTTCAAAACCACTACCATAGTGACGTCCATGCTTCCTGACCCTCTCCCTCCCTCCCAGCAAGGCTGTCCTTGGCCATCTTCCTGGAAATCCACCCCCATTCTTTGAAGATGTCAACACTGAGCTTGTGGTCTTTTTCTCCACCTTGCACCTTGCTGTCAGCCTGGGTGACTTCAGCTGTCATGAGGATGATCCTTTGACTGTGGGCTCTCAATTCCCCTACCTCCTCATGTCTACTGGCCTTCACTACCACTCCACTTCTGCCAAGCTCTCCCAAAGCCACATCCTTGATCTTGAGAGATAAGAGTAATATAACAAACAGTATGTTCTCACCAACTGTATCAGTTAGGGCTCTTAGTTACAAACAAGAGATTCCTGCTCAAGAAGGTTTAAGGAGAAAAGGGGCTTATTAAGGGATAATAGGTAGATTACAGAATCTCC